ATCACTCTTGCTGATGACCTGGGAGAGTTTCACCACATGGACACAATGATATTACTGGAATATTGCTGAAAGGGGCTCACTATACTAAAATTAAAGCACTCACTCACTCTATCACAGGCAATAACTTTCAAAGCCTCATACTACCACAGAAAAATTCAACTCCTATTTAGAAATAATGAACCAAATAGTATAGAAATAATATGGTACCATATGTACAACTTTAAACAAATATAGAACATCTCTAGATTGTCTTAGGCCATTATTATACAAATTTGTATTATTATATGTTTTGTTACTCTGATTCATTATATATGTTGTTTATGTAGTTTATAGAATATTGTCACTGTTTCTGCATGGAACGTTTGAGCAATAAATATCATATCTATGACACAGGTCCTGTTAGTGTCAGTTGTGGGACCCAGCCACCAATTACTGCTTCAACCATGACACATTGCCTGATAACCTTGGACGTGACACGCACGGATTAGTTGATAGATATTCAAGGACATGGAATGTTCCTGACAACTATTTCATACATGTCACATTGATGTATCGATCTTTTGGATTACATGCACTCTCGCTGACAGATATGTCAAAAATGAATTTTTATCTGACAGTTATGTCCCTGAAAATAGTTCTTGTGTTTTGTGTGAAAACTGGTTTGGAGCGGTGGGGTAGCCTAGTGGTTAAAAGCGTTGGCTCGTCACGCCGAAGACCCGGGTTCGATTCCCCACATGGGCACAATGTGTGAAGCCCATTTCTGGTGTCCCCCGCCGTGATATTGCCGGAATATTGCTAAAAGCGGCGTGAAACTAAAACTCAGTCAGTCAGTCAGTCAGTCAGTCAGACTGGTTTCTTGTACAGAGAGCTACCATCTGCAAATGAACATATTTTTATAAGTTATATTTATGCTGTGTTTCTTTGATCATTCATCTATCATAAGCAGCTAGAACTAAACAAGGTTCGCAACCAGTGATCACTTTCCAATTGGTTCAAAACATTTGAATCTAATTTTCAGTTGGCCTCCCTGTTTATGGCCATTACTCAGCCATTTTCATTCAATATAGAATGGAATTTGGAGCAAGTAGTATATCAAGTTTTTGGCAATATTTTTTATTTTAACCTTGTTTATAAATTCTGTAAAAGTATATTTGATTTTAAGGTTTGTTTAAAGCCTCAAGTAATTGTTATGCAGAGAATACTTTTGAATATCAAGGCATACAACCAGTGTGTTTTTGACTGTTGATAACAAATGCAGGTGAACTACAGTACCTGTGGAACTAGTTTGAATCCAAGTTAATTAAGTTGCCTACCTCTGGGTATATTGTCTAAACAGATTAGTTTCTAGCATTTGTATGTTAAATATACCTCAGCAATATATCAGAACACTCTGTGGTCATCAAACATTGTTCTGACTGTGATCCGCTTATATCATATCAGACCGTCTGTGGTGTTCTGAGTAGATTGTCAGCCTGGAGAGGTGAAGGGTGGTGGCTGGATCACCTGGTCAGGTCACCCAATAGATGATAAATTGTACATTCAGTGGATAAATAGAGGACTGATCGGCTCAGAGTCAATATACCGTCTGAGTGGATATACCTGTTAAACAGCAACATGGTATCTCAGTTTTAGATATGTCCTGTCCACACTGCTGTGTACAAAACTCTGTGGTACACAAGACAGTATGGACTGTCATGTTCATTTTATATCTGACTATAGGGCACATTAAAAATTAAAAATTGATTCAGGGGTTGACAAGGGGGCATCTTTGGGTCTGTGATATGGTGAATATGCAGTAGAATGGACTGTGATATTGTGAATACGGCAATAGAATGGACTGTGATATGGTGAATATGGCAACAGAATGGACTGTGATATGGTGAATACGACAATAGAATGGACTGTGATATGGTGAATACGGCAGTAGAATGGACTGTAATATGGTGAGTATGTGGCAATAGAATGGACTGTGATATGGTGAATATATGGCAATAGAATGGACTGTGATATGGTGAATACGGCAATAGAATGGACTGTGATATGGTGAATACGGCAATAGAATGGACTGTGATATGGTGAATATATGGCAATAGAATGGACTGTGATATGGTGAATATATGGCAATAGAATGGACTGTGATATGGTGAATAAAATGGCAATAGAATGGACTGTGATATGGTGAATAATGGCAGTAGAATGGACTGTGATATGGTGAATAAGGCAATAGAATGGACTGTGATATATAGGTGAAGCTGAATGGACTGTGGCAGTAGAATGGACTGTGATATGGTGAATATGGCAATAGAATGGACTGTGATATGGTGAATATGGCAATAGAATGGACTGTGATATGGTGAATACGGCAATAGAATGGACTGTGATATGGTGAATATATGGCAATAGAATGGACTGTGATATGGTGAAATATGGCAGTAGAATGGACTGTGATATGGTGAATATATGGCAATAGAATGGACTGTGATATGGTGAATATGGCAATAGAATGGACTGTGATATGGTGAATATGGCAGTAGAATGGACTGTGATATGGTGAATACGGCAATAGAATGGACTGTGATATGGTGAATATGGCAACAGAATGGACTGTGATATGGTGAATATGGCAATAGAATGGACTGTGATATGGTGAATATGGCAATAGAATGGACTGTGATATGGTGAATACGGCAATAGAATGGACTGTGATATGGTGAATATATGGCAATAGAATGGACTGTGATATGGTGAATACGGCAATAGAATGGACCGTGATATGGTGAATATGGCAATAGAATGGACTGTGATATGGTGAATACGGCAATAGAATGGACTGTGATATGGTGAATACGGCAGTAGAATGGACTGTAATATGGTGAGTATGTGGCAATAGAATGGACTGTGATATGGTGAATACGACAATAGAATGGACTGTGATATGGTGAATACGGCAGTAGAATGGACTGTAATATGGTGAGTATGTGGCAATAGAATGGACTGTGATATGGTGAATATATGGCAATAGAATGGACTGTGATATGGTGAATAGGGCAATAGAATGGACTGTGATATGGTGAATAATCCGGCAGTAGAATGGACTGTGATATGGTGAATACGGCAATAGAATGGACTGTGATATGATGAATATATGGCAGTAGAATAGACTGTGATATGGTAATAAAAGGCAATAAAATGGACTGTGATATGGTGAATACGGCAGTAGAATGGACTGTGATATGGTGAATAAGGCAGTAGAATGGACTGTGACAAGCTGAATACGGTAGTAGAATGGACTGTGATATGGTGAATACAGCAATAGAATGTACTGTTATATGGTGAATATGGCAGTAGCATGGACTGTGATATGGTGAATACGGCAATAGAATGGACTGTGATATGGTGAATATATGGCAATAGAATGGACTGATATGGTGAATACGGCAGTAGAATGGACTGTGATATGGTGAATACGGCAATAGAATGGACTGTGATATGGTGAATATATGGCAATAGAATGGACTGATATGGTGAATATGCAGTAGAATGGACTGTGATATGGTGAATACGGCAATAGAATGGACTGTGATATGGTGAATATGGCAGTAGAATGGACTGTGATATGGTGAATATGGCAATAGAATGGACTGTGATATGGTGAATATGGCAATAGAATGGACTGTGATATGGTGAATACAGCAATAGAATGGACTGTGATATGGTGAATATATGGCAGTAGAATGGACTGTGATATGGTGAATACGGCAGTAGAATGGACTGTGATATGGTGAATATGGCAATAGAATGGACTGTGATATGGTGAATACGGCAATAGAATGGACTGTGATATGGTGAATACGGCAGTAGAATGGACTGTAATATGGTGAGTATGTGGCAATAGAATGGACTGTGATATGGTGAATACGACAATAGAATGGACTGTGATATGGTGAATACGGCAGTAGAATGGACTGTAATATGGTGAGTATGTGGCAATAGAATGGACTGTGATATGGTGAATATATGGCAATAGAATGGACTGTGATATGGTGAATACGGCAATAGAATGGACTGTGATATGGTGAATACGGCAGTAGAATGGACTGTGATATGGTGAATACGGCAATAGAATGGACTGTGATATGATGAATATATGGCAGTAGAATAGACTGTGATATGGTAATAAAAGGCAATAAAATGGACTGTGATATGGTGAATACGGCAGTAGAATGGACTGTGATATGGTGAATAAGGCAGTAGAATGGACTGTGACAAGCTGAATACAGTAGTAGAATGGACTGTGATATGGTGAATACAGCAATAGAATGTACTGTGATATGGTGAATACGGCAATAGAATGAACTGTGAAATGGTGAATACGGCAATAGAATGAACTGTGAAATGGTGAATACGGCAATAGAATGGACTGTGATATGGTGAATACGACAATAGAATGGACTGTGATATGGTGAATACGGCAATAGAATGGAATGTAATATGGTGAGTATGTGGCAATAGAATGGACTGTGATATGGTGAATACGACAATAGAATGGACTGTGATATGGTGAATACGGCAATAGAATGAACTGTGAAATGGTGAATACTGGCAATAGAATGAACTGTGAAATGGTGAATACGGCAATAGAATGGACTGTGATATGGTGAATACGACAATAGAATGGACTGTGATATGGTGAATACGGCAATAGAATGGAATGTAACATGGTGAATAAGGCAGTAGAATTGACTGTGACAAGCTGAATACGGTAGTAGAATGGACTGTGATATGGTGAATACAGCAATAGAATGGACTGTAGCATGTGAATACAATAATAAAATGTACTGTTATATGGTGAATACGGTAGTAGATATGACCTGTGATATGGTGATTACAGTAATAGAATGGAATAGAATGGACAATTATATAAACACCATCCAGAGCGCCCTGGAATTAGGCTTTCTTTATAAGAGGTTCACACTTACACTGGTCATCTGTTATTTCAGGATATGTACAAGAAAATGACGGAGGTGGACCCCAACACCCCCACACCTGAGGAACGAGAGAAGGAAGGAGTGACAAAGGCAAGGTATCTACAGTGGAGGGATGAGATGAGCTCTTCTGTCACTCTCGGCTTCAGAATTGAGGGCATTAAGGTAAGACTGTCCAAATCATCACCTGACATCTCACGTTAGTGTTGTATCATAGTCTGTCTCACAGTAACTTAAACACAGTATTTTCTCCACTGACCAACCCTTTCAGTACATAGAGAGAGATGTATTTTTGTCAGCTGATCATTGAACGACATTTAGCAAATTGTGATGTTATGACTTTGAATCAATATTCTTTTTATAAGTAACTTAAACACATTATTTTCCCAGCTATCTCTGCAATGCAAACGGCATAGATGAAGCAAGTCTAGATTTTCTCAGGTTCTGAATCTCCTTCTAGGGAATCTCCCGCTCTCACTAGGGCACATTTTCAATTTAAATTGAGTTATTTGTTTCTATCAGAATTATATGTTTTCAGAGACTGTAAATAGCAAATGAACATATAGGATAAACTGCTACTTTTGGGTACATAGAGGAGAGAGGATCTATTTTGGTCAGCTGATCTTTGAACGAGGATATTTAGTAAATTTTGATATTATGATGTTTTTATTAGAATGTTATTGATTCCAGTCTTAATTTCAAAATAAAAAATAGCAAAATTGAATGATTTTGGAAAATATTCAATATTTAACTTTGTCAATATCAAAACAATTCATCTGTTGTGTCGATGAAGTTCATTTATTTCAAGTATTAACAGCCAGGATCGGTGTGTTTGATTATTGATGGATGTTTATTTCCAGAGAAGTGACGGCTCATCAAGCAAGGACTTCAAGAAAACTAAAACACGAGAGCATGTCCTGGAAAAACTGAAGTCCTTTTGTCGGGGAAAACAAAAACATTGTGGTCAGTTCATAACAAAATAGTACAACAGTATATATAGTTCCAAAGGATGCCTTGGGCGGAATAAAGTAATATATCTCCCAGCTGATATCTGAAGAGATATTGCAGGAACCAGATTGCATCACAATGCTGTGCAGGCCTTTTTGACATTATTGGTTAACATGATGTCACAAACAAATGACATCACTAATCTTTCAGGTGCTGAAGATGGTTGGTTGTACTTTTTACACCCACACACAAATATATTTCATTATGATTTTGGATGATATAGTTTCTGGTGTCCCCCGCCGTGATGTTGCTGGAATATTGCTAAAAGCGGCGTAAAACCAAACTCAGTCAGTCAGTCAGTTGGATTGATGATATAGAGAATCTTACACTGCAATATGAAAAAATTAAAAAAACAAATATTCATTGTCACAAAACTAGTAACTACCTTTGTAATAATACTTGATATGATGAACAGAGTGCAGTCATCTGATGCTAAATCATCATGTTACCTGGTAGAAACATGGCCCTGGGTTTGTCCAGGTTGTCAGCACCAAACCCATGTTTATTGCTTTCATAAAGTGGTAAACGTCCGAGACCTGCATCCCTGCGGGCTCTCCTCTCACATTAAGCTGGCACTTAATAACAAATGGATATTTCTTGTGCGCCATAGTCCATCCAGAGCATGCAAAGAGCTACAGATAAAAGTCACTAGATTTAATGTGGAAATATATGACAGTTTGTCAAAGAGACCATCAGAATATTTGGCAGTTATTGTTTGTAGAATATTTTGAAGAAGTAGGTTTGAGTCCTGACTTGAATGCTTCTAAGGGCGGTGTGGTTGGCTAGTGGTTAAAACGTTCGTTCTTGATGCCGAAGTCCCGGGTTCGGTTCCCCACATGGGTACAACGTGTGAGGCTCATTTCTGGTGATATACTGGAATATTGCTAAAAGTGGCAAAAAAAACCATACTCAGTAAGTCAGTGAACGCTTCTAAAGATCAAGATGAGAGAAGGAAGACTGTTCCACAGGGTTAGTGGCTTAGTGCTGCAAATTTGAATGATCTATGTCCAAAGTGTTTGAGATGGACGTGGGGATCTGAGAGAAGATCTTGATTCTTGGAGTGGAGAGAAAGGGCATATAAGTTAACACTTGTACGGATTTGCTGTGTAAATTTTGTTTTCATTACGGTATGAATTAAAAAACCGATGTGCAAACTGTATGAATGGAGGATTTACATTGAACACAATACAGATTGAATTATTGTGAATACTGTTTAGCATTAACCCGTAGTAAGAATGGAGTATATACGCAGCTGATAGAGGAACATAAATCGGACACAATGACCAGATTATGCAGGGGTTGATTCAGATTGAGAAGGGGCGGTGGGGTAGCCTAATGGTTAAAGCGTTGGCTCATCACGCCGAAGACCCGGGGTTCGAATCCCCACATGGGCACAATGTGTGAAGCCCATTTCTGGTGTCCCCCGCCGTGATGTTGCTGGAATATTGCTGAAAGCGGCGTAAAACCAAACTCAGTCAGTCAGTCAGTCAGATTGAGAAAACATCCTAAATTATGACAAGGACTTTTTGTTTTCCATTTCCAATAACTAAATGATTTCTTCCGGTGAAGCGTATCCTTGAATCTTGATTGATTGAATTCAGATTGTGTAATTTACAATTTGATTTCCATGCAACTGACCAAGCTTCCATTGTTGACAGGAACAGTACATTGAGAGGTTAAAGGCTGTATGTGATGCGCAGGAAGCCTCAGAATTCTTCAACAGACATGAGGTAAGGGGAGATGATAAGCTTCTACAAGGGAAAGTGAGAGAGTGAGTTGAGTTTTACGCCGCACTCAGCAATATTCCAGCTATGTGGAGGCAGTCTGTAAATAATCGAGTCTGGACCAGACAATCCAGTGATCAATAGCATGAGCATCGATCTGTGCAATTGGGAACCGATGACATGTGTCAACCAAGTCAGCAAGCCTGACCACCCGATCCCGTTAGTCGCCTCTTACGACAAGCTTGGGTTACTGAAGATCAATATTCTAACCCAGACCTTCACGGGTTCTACAAGGACAAGGGTCAACATGATAAAGAGAACGTTACAAAAACATTTACAGTGGTAGATGAGGACAATTTTTATGAATATACAACTTCTTTATTCTGTATAGGCAACGTTTCGACAGATTCTAAACATCACCTATACAGAATAAAGAAGTTGCATATCCATAAAAATTGTCCTCGTCCTCATCTCAACTTCTGGAATGCCAATCAAAGAAGTCATTTACAGTAGTAGCCTAGATTAAAATAAAATATTTGCTTCTAGCTCCAGGGTCCCGGTATTAACCAGACTCACATTATTTTGTAATGTATCTTAATGTATTTTACTTTTTTGCCCAGGTGATCAGCAGTTCATTGTTGTTCGTCCATGATGCTGAGAAGGCCAATATATGGATGATTGACTTCGGTAAGACGGAGCCCCTCCCAACGATGGTGCATGTAGATCATCGTACAGAGTGGCAGGAAGGGAACCATGAGGACGGCTACCTTGCCGGCATTGACAGACTCATCTCCATCTTTGTTGACCTTTTGACCCAGACATGACCTTACGACCTTGGAAATGGTCATGTGACAAACTCTAAATGAAATGCTGTCGACGTCAGAAGCAGTATTTGTGTACGCAATAGTGTTCATTGGATGCCAAGACTGTCTTGGGTGAAATGCAAAGGGTTGTGTGAATTTGGTCTAAGTGAGTCTGTGATGAAGTACGGAAGAGGTATTTTCGTCATATTCACCTGAACAAAATGGACACTCAGTGGAAGCCGATCTGATTTTATTGACAAAGATATCTGGAATCTCTTCTCAAGCTCACTCCTGAACATGTAACATAATAACAGTTTGAAAATGAAACAGCATTTGGAATCTCTCAACACCTCATGTCATTGTCTTCACTGGTCTACATTTTGGAGGATAGAACAAAGGGAGATAACTCAAACTGCACACAAATGACTACTAATTTCATGGAAGGAATTAGGATCAGTGCATTATTACAAGGGTATTTGATGTTCTAATGTATTGATAGTAACCTCTTTATTTCTTGTCATGTTCTTAATTGACCTTTTTTAATTCTTGAACGTTTTTTTTCAAAACCCTATCCAAAAAGCAATATATATATTTTATTGTAATTCTTAAAATTTCCTTTTTGTTCTTGACCCTCCTCAAATATGTGTATAATTATTTGTTATGACCTTCCCCTAGAGATCATTGGTTTTTTAAGGGGGTGACATTTTCCTGGCCCTCCCCATATAAAATTACACACCCCTAATTTTAATAGATCGAAACAGTGGACATTGGACTTCTTATCGGTTAGGGAAGACAAATTGTCTGGAGAGTGTGGAAACATCAATCATGCATTCTCATGTACATCTTCTTGTGAAACCCAAATCTCACTGATGATGCTGTTTACGTGTCAAACAAGTGAAGTTTTACTCCTGACCTACTGTGGACAGAATCTCACATTTCCTGGATGTGTTCAAGGGAGATAACTCTTTCATTTTTAACTCCCCAGTTGAAACACAAATTAGACTTTACATATTTCTCGAATGTTTGTGTTTCCAAAACGTGCAGACTTTTAAGGAGGAACATTCTTCATTTCAAAGCCCGCTTCAATGTTTGTTGTAGGCCAATTCTTCATTCTTACAAACCCTAGAACATTTCTTCTGCTGGCATGTCTTGTAAACAAAAGCTCTTGTGGCAAGTTCCTAGGCCTCTTTCGGACTAGTTTTAGACTCCTTGATGTTGTCACTGCCTCATGGTCAGCTATTAGGTGTACCTTGGTTGTTTCCAAGTACTGACTAGTCTTACAGATATACATGCTCATATCGGCTGGATAGTGTCCATGTGAATCATTACTGCTTTCTAATTCTCCATCCTTGACTGGGACCAATTTTACAACTTTGTGATTACTGTTATCATCTTTGACAAATTTCTATTTTAAGAGGTTTTTTCTCTCACATCAGCATATTTTTATGTGAATGAGATGTGTTTTACTGTGTTGAGGAAATAAATTGCCTTTGTTTAAAGGGGGAGCTCACTCAGGAAAGATGGCAGATCCAGTGCATTTCAGGCCATTCAAAAACCAATTTATTTGTTGTCAGAGTTAAATTTCAGACGTAAACAGTTTAGCAGTTAGTGATCAGCCAATTAAGATAATGTTTAGTGCATGGTACAAATAAAGACTTCAGATAGAGACTTGAAATATGAACTTTACCACCATTAGTAGTACTTCATGGAGTAGTATACACTTTGTTCCTTCATCACCCATAAATACATATGGATGTTTTGTGTGTCGAGGCTAATTTCAACCACCAAATCAAGCGTCAGCTGGTTCATCCTAGAAGGAATCAGCATGTGATCCGACCAATGAACATTCAGATTACAATGAACAAATGAAAAAAATACCTCCTTCTGCAACAGAACCACGGCCATCCTTACTACACACTGCTCATCTCTCACACACACACACACACACACACAGAGAGAGAGAGAGAGAGACACACACACACACACAGAGACACACACACACACACAGAGAGAAGAGAGAGAACCACGGCCATCCCTACTACACACTGCCTATCACACACACACACACAGAGAGGGAGGGGTGTTACGCCGCTTTTAGCAATATTCCAGCAACATCACAGGGGGAACACCAGAAATGGGCATCACACATTGTGCCCATTTTCAGAATCAAACCCGAGTCTTTGGCATGACGAGCAAACACCTTAATGTGGTAAAAACATGACTGTGCTGTTTATCATATGTTGGTTGGTGTTGAATGCCGCACTAAAATATTCCAGCAATATGGCGGCAGTCTGTATATAATCGAGTCTGGAGCAGACAATTCAGTGATCAACAGCATGAGCATCGATCTACACAATTGGGATATGATAACGTGTCAACCAAGTCCGCGAAGCTGACCACTTGATCCCGCTAGTCGCTTCTTACGACTAGCTAGCATGGGTTACTGAAGACCAATTCTATCTCAGGTCTTCACGGGTCTTATCATCCATATGTATTCAAGGAGGAACATAGTGTACATCAGTGACTGTTCTATTACCAATTCTGTAATAAAGACTGTGGACAGAATATTTCCTGACCATGGTTTATATGAAAACTAGTTGTAAAAGGGTTGTAGTCCACGAACAATCCTATATTTCTAACTCAAGGCCAATGTATAACTTGTAGCAGTGTCACTCAGGGTTTGATGGGTGTCCCACTCATTCTAAAACCCATATGATGCTGCTACCGTGAGAATGTCTTGTCATCATATTTATATCTTGCATTGTAATAGAATTAAAACGAATTAAAAATTGGTAGAAAACGGTCGTTTGATTGAATTGAGGTCAACCTGTGTCACATGACTTTCGCTGATTCATAAGCAGTATGTAGCAGAGAATCGCGGAACCAGAAACTCTTCTCAGCCTGTTTCTTCATGATATAATTTATTCTTTTGCTCAGAGATATACTTCCCTCCCAGGCGATATATATATGGTATTATATCACGTTTCTGGGAAACAGTCAGATCTCCACATTCTGACATATAGGTTAAAAAGATTAGCATGCTGTTATGAACGTGTTATGTGGTTAAAATAAATGCCTACATATTCACACATATATTAGTGTGAAAAATAGAGAATATGTTTGAGAATGTCATGAAATATCCTTTCTGAAGCAATATGGTTTTCATGTTGAAAGTCTTACTTGGACATTCTTTAACTTAGACATTCCTGTATCTTGCTAACAAACTTAGGACACAATTCTCATCATGTAGTTATTCCTTACCTCTCCCCATTATTTAGTATTTTAGTATAATTCTTAAGACATCATTTTCTGAATACTGGTTTATTATGATTATATATATATATTATATTTTCTTATGTATTATCTATTACACTGGCGTTTCATGAGTTAGAATAATATTCGGCTGCTATTGAACAATTGTTGTTTATCTATTGAAATATTGGGATCAAGTTAGAAATTCTTTACATTTTTAGTTAGTAATTGATATTTTTCAGTAACATATTTCACATTGCTTGAATAAAAGCTAAATATTTTGTTTTTAACATTTTGCATTTTGATGTAAGATATATATAGATGTAGTATTTTAAACCAGTTTCTAGTTTAGGAACTCTAAAGTTGGAGGTAATATTTTTAATAGATTTAGAGTTACATTTTGGATTTGCTCCCCTTAGAAACAGTAATTCCAACACATGTGAGTGAGTGAATTGGGTTTGGCACTGCTTTGAACATAATTGAAGGTTTATCATAACGTGTCAGCTTAATGTTAGGAGAGAGTTTGAAATGATGGAATATTAATAAAAGTGGAATAAAACCATACTCACTCACTCACCCAGTGTAAACATGCAGCAATCCTGAAGTTTAAAGTTAATGGTACAATTGATTATCATTATGATGTGTGAAAGATTATGCCATTCAAAGTTAATAACATCCATTCCTATGAAATATATTTACCCAATACGATGTTAATGACCAATTGCTTCTTTCATATTACTGGGGCGGTGGGGTAGCCTAGTGGTTAAAGCGTTGGCTCATCACTCCGAAGACCCGGGTTCGAATCCCCACATGGGTACAATGTGTGAAGCCCATTTCTGGTGTCCCCCGCCGTGATGTTGCTGGAATATTGCTAAAAGCGGCATAAAAACCGAACTCAGTCAGTCAGTCTTTCATATTACTGTACTTAATCTTATTGAAAGAATTAGATTGTCCTTAAGTTTAATTTTTGTAGTACAGGATAGCTATTGTCGAAACGTCCGTAGCCCTAACACGAACTTCTTAAGCCCATTCTTAACACATTGGCTACAATCAAAGTTAAGAATTCTTAGGGCTACAAACGTTTCGAGAATAAAGGGGCCTGGTGAATAAGTCAAGTGTAAGTAGGTTGTCTTTGCATATTTGAAAGTTTCAGCATAATATTTGAAACTAATAATTTTGAAATGATGATGAAAATATGTGCAAGTAACTGCATTTACAGTAGGTTGATATACCGTAATCAATGGTTATAACAAACGTTTTTATTTTAGTTTGTTATAACCATAGTTAGTTATAATCATTGTTTACTATCGTAGCAAACATCAATATTTTCCAAAAATTAGAATAATGCAGATATTTTACTGTTTGATGCAAAGTGTTAAGCTCTTATTTTTCCGCTCTCTCCGTATGGACTTAACCTGTGCAATCGAGATCTATTTATATGTAAAATAGATGTTTAATACATCATAACATTTTGTTTCCGCTGTCTGTACATATGATTTTATGCCAGCAATTAGTGAAATGTTTCTTTGAATAATGATTTACATAATTGTAGCAAATTGTTAATCAGTGAACTAAGGATATTCTATTTCATATTTTGTATCATATTAATGTTTAACTCTGTGAAGTAAAAAATGCCAATACAAACATATTCTTGTGATTTTTTTTGCATTATCAGCTTGTCTACTTTATGCTGCTGGGCGGTGGGGTAGCCTAGTGGTTAAAGCATCCGCTCGTCACGCCAAAGACCCGGGTTGATTCCCCACATGGGTACAATGTGTGAAGCCCATTTCTGATGTCCCCACTGTGATATTGCTGGAATATTGCTAAAAGCAGCATCAAACCATACTCACTCGCTCTTTCACTTTACGCTGCTTCCTTGTAGGCCTCAGATTGTGTGGGTCCTGAGGAGGTCCCTTTTACCCACAGGACCACTCTGATCTATGGTTAGTCACGTGATACACTGTTATATGACAGTAACGGTTAGTCATGTGATATATTGTTGAAAGACAGTAACAGTAACAGTCACGTGATATATTGTTTAATGACAGTAATGGTTAGTCATGTGATATATTGTTTAAAGACAGTAACAGTCATGTGATATATTGTTTAATGACAGTAACAGTAACAGTCATGTGATATATTGTTTAATGACAGTAACAGTTAGTCATGTGATATATTGTTTAATGACAGTAACAGTCACATGATATATTGTTTAATGACAGTAATGGTTAGTCATGTGATATATTGTTGAAAGACAGTAACAGTCATGTGATATATTGTTTAATGACAGTAACAGTCATGTGATATATTGTTGAAAGACAGTAACAGTTACAGTCACTTGATACATTGTTTAATGACAGTAACAGTAACAGTCACATGATACATTGTTTAATGACAGTAACAGTAACAGTCACATGATATATTGTTTAATGACAGTAACAGTAACAGTCACATGATATATTGTTTAATGACAGTAACAGTTAGTCATGTGATATATTGTTTAATGACAGTAACAGTCATGTGATATATTATTTAATGACAGTAACAGTTAGTCATGTGATATATCAGTCAATGACAGCAACAATATAACTCCATGATTACATTACAAGTCACTTATGTTCTTTCACCCAGAACTTATGTCCTGCTACCTTCTTTCTGACCAATCTATAGCCTGTTTCTATAATGTGTATGATATATGAATGTATTAGTCACAATATTACTTCCATATGTTTAAGTGAATACGATTCTTCAGTGTATGATCACATTTTTCTAAACCTGTATCTAAATTGTTTTGGGGTTCTAGAGGAGTTAAGGAATATTCATAGATGTACTGTATACAAATATTTTAGGGTGGAGGACAGGGAATGTTGAATTTAATGGTATGATGAAAAGGTGATCTTAATTCTTTTCAGTGGATTCCCAACATAAATACATTTACACATGGAACTTAATTAAACACCCCCGTTGTTTTCATATTGACATGAAATTGAGCAACCATTACCATTAGTATGTATACTGGAAAGCTTAAACTCCATTGTTTCCTGAAAGTTGACATTTTGGACTAAACAATAACAACAAAATCATGAAAATTTGCAATATTTTCATTTACAAAATGACATGAAAACGGCAACGATGTTTTGTCAACAAAATGTATCCCTGTACAACTATGGGGCTGCAGAGTTCTAAGATGGGAGAGGTGAGTGTTTCTCAATCTGAAAATGTTCCCTGTCATCTTCAGACAACAAATCACAAGAATAATGCTAATAGCATGCATATCCACCTTGTGCACGGATGACTGCTTTGACCCTCCTCATGGTTGTCGTGAGTCTCTGGATTCGCTCCAGAGGCAGTTGCTGTTACTCCCGGCGCAAAGCTGCTTCCAAACATGCCAGATCTTGTACAGGCGGATCCAGTGCTTGCACTCGGCGTCCCAGAATGCCCCAGACAGGCTCCAATGGGTTCAGATCCGGGCTCATAGCAGGCCATGGAAGTCTGGTTACGGCGTTGTTGGAAGAAAAACTGTCACAAGTCGGAAACGATGTGGTCGGTCGTTGTCATCCATAAATACAGGGCGAGTGGCTAATGGGTGGTTATCAAAATGTGGCACAAGAAAAGGATCCAGAACGTCCCGGATGTCGTGGTCGCCATTGAGATTTCCACGAACAGTTATCAAGTCCAGTGTACAATCATGGGAGAGACAACCCCAGACCATGACAGATCCACTGCCGTAAGGAAGTGATGCTCTCATAGGCTCATATAGGCCCTGTTCTTGGTCCTCCTGACTCGCTGGCGCTCGTCTGTGACGTGCAATAAAAAGTGACTCTCATCCGACCAATGCACCTTTCCTTCATGACGTCAAATTCCAATGACGTCGGGGTAAACACCACTCCAAATGAGCTCCCTTGAGAAGATTGGTCATGGCTGGACGCTTGATCGCCCGACACAGTGTAAGAAACCGCATAAAGACACATGCGATGAGGGCAAGAAGGGCGATCTTGAAAGCGTTACAGTCATATTGCACAGACGTCTGTTGGGGAGCCATAGGTGCTTCAGGACGCCATTTGTAGTGAAAGGCTGACCTCTCACAAGGCTTGCTAAATCCCGATCCTCAACTTGAGACGTCTTTCGGGGTTGACCTGGCCTTGGTCAGTCCTTAACCTTGTTGGTTTGAGGGTGTTTTTTGAACAAGTCGACGTATGACGGTGTGGTAAATGTCAAGCTGTCGCCCATTACCCCTGCATGACATCCCGGTGTCGTGCATTCCAATAATTTGCCATCTTCTTGCTTCTGGTAGTCTCCTTCGTACCATTGTGACAGATGCTGGTAAAATCATTAAACATTTTGGCGTTTTATACAGTTAGCCGCATTGAGTTAATAGTCCTTTTTCAAACAATCGTGGACAGTGTGCTTCAACTGCATATTGGGATGTCTTTTGACGATTGATTTAGAACATAGCATAACATAGAATGTGTTTCAGTATCCCCCACAAAAGGCACTCGGCACACAAGTTATCCTGAAATTGATAGAAACGTCCATAGAATCACTACTCCCTTGTCAGTAAAGACCAGCAACACTGTTAAAACTGTTTGCCACCAACGCCTAGGATAAAATAAAACATAGAATTGTGAACATGTGTAAAATAGGTTATATTCTTCATATTTATCGCGAGTAATCATTCAAGTCGTGTTTAAAGGTCACATGCAACCAAACAAACATAATTAAAACACAATTATCATTTATTCATGACATATAATAAACATTGCTGATTATGAAAAAACAAATAAACAAAATGATAAGCGTACAATCGCAAATCAAAAGTGCAATATTTTGTACTTGGGTTTACTTCCCCCCGAAACGAAGCACCCGGGATACCGAACCCATCCTGAGCGGGTGGGCGTGCGCTTAAGTGTAACGAAGACTTTCATTGGTTGGTTCATTTGCTGATACACTCAGGGCTCTTTGTGTGTGCATAGAGATGTTGGGTTTTGTAAATACATGCTCATTTTTTATGCATAACATTTTGCAATCAACAGACATCATAGCATATCATGTATACAAGAATTACACCTACCTGTCTGTGTAATTACATAATGTGACAGAGACAGAACTCGGGGTGCATGAGCCATAAATCAATGCGTTTTGTTTATGGTGTATAGCCTGATAGGTGTTAAGTTCAAATTGCATGTGGTCAATGATCGAAGTTGTGTATTGCATATTGTCATTAGCAGACAGGCAGGCAGGCAGGCAGGCAGACACATAGGTGTCAATAAAACAGACATTGAGTTTTGTTTGTGACAGAGGCATATCTATATCACAGTTAGAAATTCTGACAATGCTAAATAATGACGTTGCTTTCAAGCATCGAACTGAGAAAGTGACTCGGTAAGAAGAACGTGTGGTGAAATAGTCAAATGAAATTATATATACAGTTAAGTCGGTAATCTACTGTCATAACATATAAAAAGCTCGCGCCTGTGAAATATTAAAAAAACATTAGAAAAATAGCTGGCATCAAAGCCTACTCCAAAGCGAAGGTTTTCCGTCTTGAAATGTCGAACGCCTCACTGGTTGACACATAGCTGAGTAGATCTAGATCCTTAACAAGGTTCTTTTATGTAACGAGTAGATTATTTACTATTTGTTGTTTGCGTACACAACCAATATAAGACTACTCCTGCTCATGACCTTACATCCCGCTTCCAAGCTGCGCGAATCTATTCACTGCGCATGCGCCATGAGTGCAGCTGTTGAAACCACTTTTCACCCCAGCTGGGGTGAATTTAGTGAATCGTTTGAACTCTGATTTTGCGGGGGGTTTTCATCGCGTTATCTTTCAACTTTATAAGTTGAATTTGCATTTTTGATAATTTGTTACTGTAAGTCCAAACCGAAAGGTATCAGAATCTGCAAAGTTATGTTTTACGTTGCATGTAACCTTTAAGTATGTATAGCGTAACGTCTTATAACAATTCCAATCGACATTTCCAGCGAATACAGAGGCGGTGGGGTAGCCCAGTGGTTAAAGCGTTGGTCACGCCGAAGACCCGGTTTCGATGCCCATGGCTACAATGAATGAAGCCCATTTCTGGTGTCCCTCGCCGTGATATTCCTGGAATATTTCTAAAAGTGGCGTAAAGCTAAACTCACTCCAGCGAACACCAAAAAGTATTCTTTGATTAAATGGGCCCGAGTCTATTATACAAATATTTTAGGGTGGTGAACAGGGAATGTTGAATTTAATGGTATGATGAAAAGGTGCTCTTGATTCTTTTCAGTGGATTCCCAACATAAGTATATTTGCACATTGAACTTAATTAAACACCCCGTTGTTTTCATATTGCCATGAAACTGAGCAACCATTACCATTAGTATGTATACTGGAAAGCTTAAACGCCATTGTTTCCTGAAAGTTGACATTTTGGACTAAACAATAACAACAAAATCATGAAAATTTGCAATATTTTAATTTACAAAATGACATGAAAACAGCAACGATGTTTTGTCAACAAAATGTATCCCTGTACAACTATGGGGCTGCAGAGTTCCAAGATGGGAGAGGTGAGTGTCTCTCAGACTGAAAATGTTCCCTGTCCTCTTCAGACAACAAATCACATGAATAATGCTAATAGCATGCATATCCACCTTTGTGCACGGATGACTGCTTTGACCCTCCTCATGCTTGTCGTGAGTCTCTGGATTCGCTCCAGAGGCAGTTGCTGTCACTCCCGGCGCAAAGCTGCTTCCAAACATGCCAGATCTTGGACAGGCGGATCCAGTACTTGCACTCTCGGCGTCCCAGAATGCCCCAGACAGGCTCAATGGGTTCAGATCCGGGCTCATAGCAGGCCATGGAAGTCTGGTTACGGCGTTGTTGGAGAAAAACTGTCACAAGTCGGAAACGATGTGGTCGGTCGTTGTCATCCATAAATACATGCAGTGGCTAATGGGTGGTTATCAAAATGTGGCACAAGAAAAGGATCCAGAACGTCCCGGATGTCGTGGTCGCCATTGAGATTTCCACGAACAGTTATCAAGTCTTTACAATCATGGGAGAGACAACCCCAGACCATGACAGATCCACTACCGTAAGGTATGCTCTCATAGGCTCATATAGGCCCTGTTCTTGGTCCTCCTGACTCGCTGGCGCTCGTCTGTGACGTGCAATAAAAAGTGACTCTCATCCGACCAATGCACCTTCCTTCATGACGTCAAATTCCAATGACGTCGGGGTAAACACCACTCCAAATGAGCTCCCTTGTCAAGATTGGTCATGGCTGGACGCTTGATCGCCCGACACAGTGTAAGAAACCGCATAAAGACACATGGGATGAGGGGCAAGAAGGGCGATCTTGAAAGCGTTACAGTCCTATTGCACAGACGTCTGTTGGGGAGCCATAGGTGCTTCAGGCTGACCTCTCACAAGGCTTGCTAAATCCCGATCCTCAACTTGAGACCACAGGCCCCCACTGTGGGTCAGATTCATCCAGCCCCCTAACTAAACTAAGCCCTGGTTTACTATCCAGCCCCCAACTATATGTACATATTATCGATTTTGGACCCCGCAGTGGGGCCTGTGCTTGAGACGTCTTTCGGGGTTGACCTGGCCTTGGTCAGTCCTTAACCTTGTTGGTTTGAGGGTGTTTTTGAACAAGTCGACTTATGACGGTGTGGTGAATGTCAAGCTGTCGCCCAATAGCCCTGCATGACATCCTGGTGTCGTGCATTCCAATAATTTGCCATCTTCTTGCTTCTGGTAGTCTCCTTCGTGCCATTGTGACAGATGCTGGTAAAATTATTAAATGTTTTGGCGTTTTATACAGTAAGCTGCATTGAGTTAATAGTGATTTTTGAAACAATCGTGGACAGTTTGCTTCAACTGCATATTGGGATGTGTTTTGACGATTGATGTAGCAAAACCCTTAAACAATATTGAAAGGGAATACAGTTCAAATAATAGTCCTCGTTACAATTCAAGATTTATCATTAGGTAAGTCAGCAACTTAAAATATGTTAGGGGGTGCTTAATTAAGTTCCATGTGTAATATTTAGAGAAAGTTTTAACTCCAAGTGTTATACCAACCAAAGTTAAATATGTTTGTGAAGGGAAGAAATATTAATCTAAAAGACTGTTAATCTAAACGTCACAGTGTATTAATTTTGTCAACCCAAATTAAGGACAGTAACACTGTGCAATCAAAATATAGCTGGTTTTGAAGGAACATTACATAGAATGTGTTTGAGTATCCCCCACTAAAGGCACTCGGCACATAAGTTATCCTGAAATTGATAGAAACGTCCATAGAATCACTACTCCCTTGTCAGTAAAGACCAGCAACACTGTTAAAACTGTTTGCCACCAACGCCTAGGATAAAATAAAACATAGAATTGTGAACATGTGTAAAATAGGTTAGATTTTTCATAATTTATCGCGAGTGATCATTCAAGTCGTGTTTAAAGGTCACATGCAACCAACCAAACAAACATAATTAAAACACAATTATCATTTATTCATGACATATAATAAACATTGCTGATTATGAAAAAACAAATAAACAAAATTATAAGCGTACAATCGCAAATCAAAAGTGCAATATTTTGTACTTGGGTTTACTTCCCCCGAAACGAAGCACCTGGGATACCGAACCCAGTCAGAGCGGGTGGGCGTGCACTTAAGTGTAACGAAGGCTTTCATTGGCTGGTTCATTTGCCGATACACTCAGGGCTCTTTGTGTGTGCATAGAGATGTTGGGTTTTGTAAATACATGCTCATTTTTTATGTATAGCATTTTGCAATCAACAGACATCATTATATGTCATGTATACAAGAATCACACCTGAGTGTCTGTGTAATTACATAATGTGACAGAGACAGAACTCGGGGTGCATGAGCCATAAATCAATGCGTTTTGTTTATGGTGTATAGCCTGATAGGTGTTATGTTCAAATTGCATGTGGTCAATGATCGAAGTTGTGTATTGCATATTGTCATTAGCAGACAGGCAGGCAGGCAGGCAGGCAGACACATAGGTGTCAATAAAACAGACATTGAGTTTTGTCTGTGACAGAGGCATATCTATATCACAGTTAGAAATTCTGACAATGCTAAATAATGACGTTGCTTTCAAGCATCGAACTGAGAAAGTGACTCGGTAAGAAGAACGTGTGGTGAAATAGTCAAATGAAATTATATATACAGTTAAGTCGGTAATCTACTGTCATAACATATAAAAAGCTCGCGCCTGTGAAATATCAAAAACATTAGGAAAAATAGCTGGCATCAAACCTTCTCCGAGTACTCACCGCTAGCGAAGGTTTTCCGTCTTGAAATGTCGAACGCCTCACTGGTTGACACATAGCTGAGTAGATCTAGATCCTTAACAAGGTTCTTTTATGTAACGAGTAGATTATTTACTATTTGTTGTTTGCGTACACAACCAATATAAGACTACTCCTGCTCATGACCTTACATCCCGCTTCCAAGCGAATCTATTCACTGCGCATGCGCCATGAACGCAGTGCAGCACAGCTGTTGAAACCACTTTTCACCCCAGCTGGGGTGAATTTAGTGAATCGTTTGAACTCTGATTTTGCGGGGTGTTTTCATCGCGTTATTTTTCAACTTTATAAGTTGAATTTGCATTTTTGATCATTTGTTACTGTAAGTCCAAACCGAAAGGTATCAGAATCTGCAAAGTTATGTTTTACGTTGCATGTCACCTTTAACTATGTATAGCGTAACGTCTTATAACAATTCCAATTTAATCGACATTTCCAGCGAATACAGAGGCGGTGGGGTAGCCTAGTGGTTAAAGCGCTGGTCACGCCTGAAGACCCGGTTTCGATGCCCATGGCTACAATGAATGAAGCCCATTTCTGGTGTCCCTCTTCGTGATATTCCTGGAATATTTCTAAAAGTGGCGTAAAGCTAAACTCTAAATTCTAACCCGCTGCTGCACGGGTCTCCAAAGAGGCTCTCTCCACTAGACATGGGCCGGGTCAATATCTCCCATATAGACCAGCCACAAACGCTTTGCCAAGATCACTTCGTGGAAGTCCATGCTTGTATATAATTTCATCCGAACGCTTGTGGGGAGAGTCAGGGGCAGTCAAGGGTGGGTCACGGAAAATTGGCAATCTTGAGGGCCATACAAATATACAAATATCTGTTTATGAGAATAGTGAATAATAACAACATGGGGCGGGTCTTCCAAAGATATGTCAAACATTTGGGGAGGGTATTATGTTTTCCGTTGATTTGTTCATCATCACCTCTGACCCACCACCCCCTAATGAATTCCAGTATAAGTTACGTGTTATTCATGCCATGTCATTGGAACTAGACCGAAACGACTTATGAACTAACACTAACTGGACAGAGGACATGTAGTAAAATATCATCTCTGATGTAGCGTACAAGGTTTGTAGCAATGTAGCAATCTTGTAAGTAGCAGATGTATTGGGTGAATGAGTGAGTGAGTTTGGGTTTTACGCCGCTTTTAGGAATACTCAAGCAATATCACGGCGGGGGACACTAGAAATGGGCTTCACACATTGTACCCATGTGTGGAATCGAACCCGGGACTTCGGCGCGACGAACGCTTTAACCACTAGGCTACCCCACCTCCCCCAGAACATTTCTCAGCGAGTATAGGTTGTCCATAATGTATTTTGGAGTCATTTACCATCTCATGACATTTGACTTATTTAATTTTGACAGCAACTGTCGCCCTTCCAGTTGATGGAATTATTTAATCATTCAAAACTTACATGCCGCCCTATCTGGAACTATATAGGGTATATGTTACATGTGTAGCGACCAGACAATTTCCGAGTCCCGTACCAGGATTCAAACCACGGACATTCTGATCCGAAGTCGGACGCCTTGTCCACATGACCAAAGTGGTTAATCCCGTCTGCAAACTGACAAAGTACGCATGTCATCTATGGGATGACTCCACGTCCTGTGTACCCAGCACGATTGGCACAATATAGTGAGGTGAAATATTGCTGAAAGATTATTACCCAGCACGATTTTATTGCGGTGATTGCTGAAAGATTATTATATTTATATAGTGAACCCGCGCGTTCTACCCGCATGGATACCCGCAATCAGGCACAGTTTACTATATCCTAACCACCGACTGCCGCTCTCCAGGCAAATTGGTTGGTTTGTTGTTGAACGCCGCACTCGGCAGTATTCCAGCTATATCGCTTCGGTCTGTAAATTATCGAATCTGGACCAGACAATTCAGTGATCAACATCATGATCTACGCTATTGGAATACGATGACATGTGTCAACCAAGTCAGCGAGCCTGACCAACCGATCCCGTTAATCGCCTCTTTCGACAAGCATGGTTTGCTGAAGACAAATTCTAACCCGGTGCTTCACGGGTCTCCATGCAGAGACTCTAGACATCCACTAGTCCCAGTCTGCACAGAATATCACTTGCTTGCGACAACGGCAGCTCCCAAGTCCCAGTGTGCTTTTGTCAAGTTAGAAATATCATAATATGGCAAACACATTTCACATTTTATTGAGTGGGGCATCCATACTTAACTGCGACACGGTAACCCTATGGGCTGGCACTATAAACCGTCAATAGTCTGGGTGCCGTTGTACAAAGCGATCTTAGCGCTAAGGTGACCGTACCTACCAGGCCTTAGCTTAGGCATGGATATATATATGCGGGGTACAAATATATTCTTATCAAAAAACATGTTATGTTTACACAGTGCTATTTAGAAAGTGGTAAATGTGATTCTGAGGGTGTGGGTTCGAATCCCGGATGAGACTCAAACAAAAGTACTAGAATCTGTACTTTACAAAGAAAGTGTAATCCCAAAAATAACATATGTTAAACAAAAACATGTTATTTTGGACATAGACTTTAGGTACAACGGCACCCTGGACGTGACTAAGCGTGCATGTATATATATACACACACACGTCGGCCATACGTCATTGAAACTGAAATCAGATCGAGGGATAACGTTTCCTTCCGTGTTTGAGATTGATCCACCAGTACAGGTATCCTTAACGTAGGGGTGACTATTGAGGGAGAAACAACTATTGCGATAGCGATAGTCTATTGCAAGTTACTATTGCGACCAACTATTGCAATACTATTGCAATAAATTTTTCTCTCCTTGAATTGTCTCATTTGAAGTCATTTCCCAAATGAATGTATAGTTTATATAACATACTAACACGCTGAAGTAGTCTCGGTCTCTATATATAACTGACAAGAAACGTCAAACCCAGATCAAGTTTGTTTGAGAGGTAACAGGGGCGGATAACTTTAAATCAAAGAGAACGAATCTGGTACTTCCTGTGTTTTATGAAATACACAATGCCATTTTAGAAAGTGGTCAAATGTAACATATGTTATAGTTGGGATTACACTTTCTCAGTAAAGGTACTGACTCCTGTGTTTTGCGCTGCGCATTTATCAACGGAAGTCAATTGCTAAACTATCGATAGCCACTCATACTATCGATGCATCGATAGTTTTTCGTTTTTACCATCGATTAGTTGCTATCGGAGACTCAACAATTGCAATCCATCGATAGTTCGATGCATCGTTACACCCCTACTAAAACGTCACTGTATGGGTGTTATAAACTATTAAAGCTAAATTCAACTTCACATAACAGTTAAAATGTGATGGGCATCAATCTACGCAATTGGGATGACGTGTCAACCAAGTCAGCGAGCCTGACCACCCGATCCTGTTAGTCGCCTGTTACGACAAGCATGGGTTACTGAAGGCCAATTCTAACCCGGATCTTCACAAGTATACATATATATATATATATTTTCACAAGTATATTACATAAAACACAGGGTTTAATTAATAGATATGACACTCTAATAAAGCGATAACTATGCAGCTATACACGTATAAGATGAATTAATTTGTCAGTGTTATCTGAGATGTTTGGATTCAATATCCAACTTCACGTTTTGTATTTTTAACTGACTTTGACAAACGGTCACCAAACAGAACTCGAGGTAATATGATCAGATTTAAGTTTGGCTCCCTCCACAGTTTGGCATTGTCATTTTGATTTATCATGGAGTTTCTCTTCGCCCACTCTCGTGTTGTCACCTCTGAATTAATGTTTCTTGATAATCAGACCACGACCGTTAGCCGTACAAAATGATGATTCAAAGATGAAAAATGGCAAGTTTTTAGTTTCATGTTATTTTGAAATGACGACGAGCAATGGAGTCAGTCAGTCTCATAATCCCTGTACAATATTTCTCCCCTTTCTCTCAGATTTTGCTGCAAAAGTTCTAAATGAAGTGAGTCCAGATTTTCCAAAGGAACAGTTTTCAATCTCCCATCTCTCTTGGACTCCTTTTCAATTTAAATTGCTATACATGCATTCATTTCTGTCAAAGTTATATTTTTAGAGACCAAACTTTGGTCGATCATGGCAGTGCGATATCGTAAAACCCACTCGCCCACTCCTTTCATTTCAATTACAGTCTCACCTTCACAATGTATAATGTAACTATCAACGACATAACGTGATAACGAGAAATTGCGTGGTTGTAACACGTGATGAAGAACGTGAATCGTCAGATATTCAGGAGGCGCCGCCAAACCACACGTATCCCTGCCCGAAGGTTACGCACATAATCACAGTCAAACAAACTCGACACACAAAGAGCCCATGATGAACAAGGCCATTGACAAACACACGAGACCAAATGTACAGACAAAGCCCAGTCGTTTGTTGACGAGACGTTAATGCACCCAGTGACCTCTGTTAGACAAACTAAACTGCTGTTGTTCTGATTTGTCCTGATTTCTCTCTCTCTCTACGAGAGAGCCCCACGTGAATAAAGTACGGAGTATTTAATTGTTCTATGGATTTAAAACTCAGTGTTGTTGTGGAACGTTGCTATATTTTTTCCGCTTCTCCGTTACACGTCAATCACCTTTCATAACATTTGCTAAAGATATTGAAATATTAACAAATAACAAATAATACTAGACCTCTCTGCAGTGTTCACTAATCTCTAGTAGGCGTGACACGATGGATCACAGCTAGATCACATTTAGGTCACATGGGGGTCACACGAGGTATCCTTGTCAGTTCTCCTTCCAGTAGGGGCGGTGGGGTAGCCTAGTGGTTAAAATGTTCGCTCGACACGCCAAAGGTTCGAATCCCCACATGGGTTCAATGTGTAATGCCAATTTCTGGTGCCCCCCGCCGTAATATTGCTGGAATATTGCTAAAAGCGGCGTAAAACTCAACTCACTCGCTCACCTTCCAGTAATACAGTTGACACATTTAGGATCATTAAATGTTAATCAATGTATGTATTTCTAAATCATAAAAACAGACATGTGCTAGTGGTTGATAGCATCAGTCAGGTCACTCAGTTTGACCACCCAGTTATATTATTAGTCAGTCCAAGCCAGGATTTGAACATTAGACATTTGAACCAGGTGAATCAAGCTTAGAGGGGCATTTAGTCCTTGAAATAATGTTATCTTATTTAGAAACAAAATCAACACACTAAAAATTGAAAGAAAATCATAAAACCCAAAGACAGCCCATAATAGTAATAGTAATAGTCCGCTTATATGGCGCTCATATCCAGGCGCATTGCCTGCTCACGGCGCTACGTACATTACTATCCACGGTCATAGGACACTATCGTACTTTCCGATACTTTTTCAACTCCCTGGGGATCATACAGCCATGCTGCCTGTTAGGCGCAATGAACTTAACACTCACATTGCCAGCACATCCTCACGGGTACCCATTTTACAGCTGGGTGAACTGAGACAATGTGGATCTAAGTATCTTGTCCAAGGATACTACGCAAATGTGCCCACCTCGGGACCCGAACCTAGGTGCCTCCACCGGGGATCGAACCCGGGCCTTCAGCGTGATAGACAGACGCCTTACCACTGCACTACTGCGCTCGACATAAGGGGCACGTTTGTCTCACACTCCCTGGACTGTGATAACTACATTTCCTGACAGCCCCTACTGTAATGCTAAGCAAGTCGGATTTACCACAGGTTCTCAATGTCCCTTCCCTCTTCGGTTCCTTTAGTTGTGTTGTTTTTGTTTTATGTAACTGCTTGTTTCTGTCAAAACATGTATTTTCAGAGACTAAGCGTTAGTTTAAAATGGGACGTGTCAACACAGTAAGCATTCAAATGCCAAGCCAGATCTATTCAGTGTATATCACAGACAGCCATGTTGGCATGGTAGCCCTTGATGATTGAACTTTGAAAGACGTCATTCATGATACTGTGAATATATTTACAACACAAATCTATTTCCTACCGCCACGATGTACGGCAGGGATGTGTCACAAAGCCTGCTGACGTTAAAGATGACCGACTTTGTCTTTGGAGTCTTAGCATTTGTATGTTTGTGATCAACATGTTTCAAAATGTCTGTCACCTTTCAACGCTCTTCTAATTCGATTATGCTTGTCGTAACTGGCGACTAACGGGATCGGGTGGTCAGGCTCGCTGACTTGGCCGATGAATGCCATCGTATCACAAATACGTAGATCGATCCCCATGATTTCAATCATGCACTGACCTTCACGGGTCTACAGGTGAGTAAGGTAGTATAGATTCGGTTGCTGATCAACCTGAATGCTGCCAAGGGTATCGCTCGTGCAGGTAACCGGTGGCCTGTCAGTCCCTCCTATCATTAATTTGCTGCTGGCGTCTCTCTCAAGTGATCAAGTTATTAATGTGATAAAGCGTTTGTCTTTGATGTTTTTGTGGCATGGATAATTTCCGTATATAAATTGTCTTCGTCCTTACATGCAATGCTATGTTTAAACCATTTGGTTTTAGTCAGAATATTGGACAACCGAAATGCTACAGGGAATACCTACAACCCACCAGTACAAGGGTATTGTTTCCTGAAAATGTTCCAGAAATCGTGTTTATTATGCTTTTACTGTTTGTCAATCTACAAAAGGTGGCATCAACGCCAGGCCAGGCATCTATTGTAACAAAGACTCGCAGTGAATGTTGGTACACCGACACCGTATCAGTTCTGGTTGTTTTCAACAAAGTGGAATACGCCTGTGACCTGCAATATTATATCGATAGCTATATCTCACGTTGAGCGAATCATAGAGAATTACAGCATCCCATTCAGCTCCTTATACTTATTAAAAGAGTTAATTTCTTAACAAATATTCGATTTGGGGGCATAATGGCCAGAAAAAAAGATTAACTTGTTCTGAAGATTTAGGCACAACAATGACGTTGAACGGATTTGAATATCATTCGGTCTCACGTGGAGACATATCTTTTCCGATTGCGAGTTAAAGTTAGTGGTGCCTTGATAACACTGTTTTGTATTGTTTACGTATTACATGTGCTGTTATACCAAAATGTATACACCACCAGTGGTTTCATAAGAAGTAAGTATCAGGGCCTAGATTATCGAAGCTCTCTTAGCGCTAAGGGGGCGGTGGGGTAGCCTAGTGGTTAAAGCGCCCGCTCGTCACGCCGAAGACCCGGGTTCTATTCCCCATATGGGTACAATGTGTGAAGCCCATTTCTGGTGTCTCCCGCCGTGATGTTTCTGGAATATTGCTAAAAGCGGCGTAAAATCATATTCTCTCACTCACTGGCTCACTCTTAGCGCTAAGATAGTCGTAAGTGCCATACATTAACATTAACTTACGACTATCTTAGCGCTAAGAGAGCTTCGAAAATGAAGGCCCAGAATCAGATGACTCCATGTTCTGGATGGGTGGCGTTCTACGTCAGTTAACCGACACCGCCCACATTTACGACTGTAAACACTGGGAGTTATTTATACCTCACAGCCCAGTTGATTATAACCAGTACAGCTGGTTGCGGCGGGACACAGGTATACTTCTGTAAAGTGTATGTTAACGCACTCTACCGCATCTGCTGCTTTGATCTGTGACAGCTGCAGTTAAGATGGCGAGCACAGGCAGCTCTGATGACGATCTCAGCGATTGGGAAGGTCCTGTGGACGTTGACTTAGACGATCCCCCTAGTAAACAGGTAGATACTTGCGTTTACCTTCTTCAGGTGTATCTCATGCCACGGTTATTCAATGGACTGTAATTCATTGTTACGTCATGTATGTTTATTGCATGTACATGTCACATTCCACCCCCTTCACTGGGTCAAGGCAGGTAGATGTCCGTGTACATTGCACGTAGATTTCAAACAGGTTTCATAAATGTTATATGTCATTGATACCGGGTATGTCATGTGCACACTGTCTTTGAAACCCAAGAGCACCTGTCTAAGACTTCGGCCTATTTAGGTTTGCCTTCAATGCTAATCGTTTGAATTATGTTAATTGTATTGACAAGTTACGCATGCTGGCTGCACAACAGCTCTCGCGATATTTATGTTACAGTAGCCTTGTTCCATACGACTGTCACACTCATAGACGCACAACCTCGTCCTTGTTTTATGGCGAAATGAAGACATGTAAATCTGAACTAGACTTTAGAGAGACTTGACAACTATCCTGCCCCGATAATACTCTCAGATACATGAACTTACACAAGCCAAATGGTCTCCAGAAAGAGGCTTACATACACTCTAAAATATATTGTCTCACCTCGCATCTCACCAGTGTGTTCATCTTGTTAACTATCAAAATACGCATATGTAAATGTTGCTAACTTACACACAGCGTATCTGCATAATGTATACAATAAATACAGCCCATTTTGACATACAATTGTAAGACAAGTGGTACAGGTGTTGTGTACATGCTGTGACCTACTTCTACCTCAGGGACGACGTAAATCAGAATTGACAGGTTACGTTTCTAGTTGAAAGGCTCTGTGGCGACGCAACTGTTGTCATTCTTGCAGTAAATATTGAAATATCTATAAATTGGTTCTAACGCTTTTGTCCATATATATAGGCTTACCCGGACTTTGCTCTGACAACTGCATGTGTCACCACTCTAGTTAGGCAAATTCATTTGGTCATCATAAGTCGGGAAACATCTGTCTGTACATACATTTAAACCTGATACAGAACTAGAATTATACTTATGTTGTACGAGGAACATGGATGAAGATAAATAATTCATAAGCATAAAAAATTCCAGAAACAGTCATGATAGACAGCGGAGGTAATAGAGAGAGAGAGAGAGAGAGAGAGAGAGAGAGAGAGAGAGAGAGAGAGAGAGAGAGAGAGAGAGAGAGAGTACCTCTCTCTGTACATATATATATATATATCATATTCTATGAATGAATACACTAAACGCTAAACGCCAAAAGAGTGAGTGAGTTTAGTTTTACGCCGCTTTCAGCAATATTCCAGCAATATCACGGCGGGGGACACCAGAAATGGGCTTAACACATTGTACCCATGTGGGGAATCGAACCCGGATCTTCGGCATGACGAGAACACGCTTAACTGCTAGAGTACCCCACCGCCCCTAAACGCCAAAAGAAACGTTACCCTCCTTCCTTGATGAATTTATTAAAATCTATTCAAGTGATGATGAAACCTTCTGCTGCATTTTAGCCAAACAATATGAATCAAATGATCACTAAAAGCTGTGTTATTAAGCATTCTTGTAAACTAATACCTTCTGAAATATCTTTGATAGTTTTTGAGTAATTCATAAAGGTAGGAGGGTAACGTATCTTTTGGCGATTAGAGTATATCATTGACTACAAATCACTGTAAATAGCTCCAGGTCATTTTGTATGTGAGGCCTGAGTCATCATCTGAATAGCTCCATGAAGGACTGGGGTCAAACCTTGGTCTCGGTACCAGTATGGCAGTACTATTCCCCTGGACGGCAATGTTCCTCAAACTAGTACACTGCCGCCTCTAAATCGGTTAACCTCACGAACATAACTCCGTACGTGACGTTACCCCTCATCCCCCTAACCCGTACGTGACGTTAGCCCTCACCCCCCTAACCCGTACGTGACGTTAGCCCTCATCCCCCTAACCCGTACGTGACGTTACCCCTCATCCCCCTAACCCGTACGTGACGTTACCCCTCATCCCCTAACCCGTACGTGACGTTACCCCTCACCCCCTAATCCGTACGTGACGTTACCCCTCATCCCCTCACCCGTACGTGAGGTTATCCCTCATCCCCTAACCCGTACGTGACGTTACCCCTCCCCCTAACCCGTACGTGACGTTACCCTCATCCCCTAACCCGTACGTGACGTTACCCCTCATCCCCTAACCCGTACGTGACGTTACCCCTCACCCCACGTGACGTGACCCTCATCCCCTAACCCGTACGTGAGGTTATCCTCATCCCCTAACCCGTACGTGACGTTACCCCTCACCCCTAACCCATACGTGACGTTACCCCTCATCCCCTAACCCGTACGTGACGTTACCCCTCACCCCTAACCCGTACGTGACGTTACCCTTCATTCCCCTAACCCGTACGTGACGTTATTCCTCATCCCCCAAACCCGTACGTGACGTTACTCCTCACTCCCCTAACCCGTACGCGACGTTACCCCTCATCCCCCTAACCCGTACGTGACGTTACTCCTCATCCCCCTAACCCGTACGTGTCATCGGCTAAGGGCAGTTTGCAGCGTGACTCGTCAATGAATCTAATCTTGTTCCACTGTTGAATTCTGGAAAAACTGCGTCAGAATAGTTCCTATGTACGGTCGTGTTGCTCGGATAGTCGTGGTGCGCAGTCGATTCCTGATGGTCTGTCCTGACTCTACCTCTGCACAAGAACAAAGTTTATGGATGAACAATTTCTTTATTTAGGTGACGCGACGTTTCGACACAGATCCTTGTATCGTTGTCAAGCAAGCAGTATACGGGTCATTCTCAAAAGTTGCAGCTATTTGGTGTACAAAAGACAACATAATTGAAATACAAAATCGTCAATCTTTATTTTCACAAATGGCAAGATACGTTGTTAAGGTTCACATATCAATAGTATTTGAGGCTTAATTATGTTCCATATTTTTATGAAGACTAATTAAACTAATTAGGACGAAAACACAATGTCTCTCCTGTAACAACAGTAATATTCACATTTTCTTAAAAATACATTGATATGTAAAGATATTTCATTGTAAAATTCTAAAATTTCTAAAATTGTATTTTTATTACATAAACCTGTTCTATACTATGTCAGATGAAAATGTGAAATCTGTTTCAGATTATGACACATTAACTTTAGATAGGAAACTAGATGTTAACACTTTGATGGTTTTGCAGACTGATCATTACGATGTCATATTTATTATAGTCACAGTCACACACTGTCTTTCAAATAACAGTCTTTAAAAAAGTGCACAAAAGCATTCAAAGTTTCTAGAACAGACTTCTTTGTGAAGCATAAGGTAATCTTATCTCATATATTTGATGCTCATCTGAATGAATCAGGAAAGAAAGACAAAAATGAAAGATAATTAGTATTAAACTGTCTTTGCAGTTACAACATAAGTCTTTTAAGTAACAGCGTTTTTTGAAAGACATATAGCATACAACCTTTTAGGGAAAATATGAATTGTTACTCAAAATATAATCTTAAAGGTCCTAATATGAGCACATAGCAAATCTAGATGAACAAGGACCTACCAGAGATAATGTTTATTTTCAAATTTGTATTAAATTGTCTTTGCAGTTACGGAATTTGTCTTTCCAATAACGACCTTTGACAAAAATTAGTATGATTGCATTCAGACAAGAAAGTGTAAAACATGTTTCAGCCTCAGCATACATAGACCTTAGATCATTACAACAAGTCAACTGTTAATGACATTGACATTAACATAAAATAAATATGTGACAAATCAATATTGATGTTTCTTTGAAGTAACTCTGAAGGTCTTTCCAATAACAAAATAGCTGTTACAGAAAAGACTGGTTATATGAAAGACAAATTGTAAGAGTAAATTAAGAGAAAAATAATGACCAGTCCCTTTCCCATTTCAGACAACATTCTTATGTTATAATTATGGTTCCAAATGCAAAGAGAAAAACATACTTGTGGGAAATTGGGTATTTTTTTGATAATTGGTGTTATCTAAAAGACACCGATGAAAAATACTCGCAAATGCTGACCAATTTAAACTTTATTTTCTTTCAAAATTTTGTCTTGAACACAACACCACATGTTCATCACTCTCAACCAGAAGTTGTTAATAAGCATAACATGTAGTTCCACTTTCACAGGATGAGGGATCATTAATTATTTCATAATTCTATGGAACTGTTGCAGCAGAGACCATATAATAGATATAATCTATTATATGGTCTCTGGTTACAGGAAAGACATTTTTCTTGTATACAAGAGAAAAAGGTTGTTTTTTATATCAAAATTCAGCTTGAAAATCATGAACATCTACCAGGAATGGGAAAAAGGTCTATTCTTTTCAACCACTCCAGAAACAATACCTTCTTAAATAAAATTTAGTGCACAGGAGACACATGATGTTAGGTTTTTGCACCTGGATACATGACAAAATGCATGTCCCTCGTTAAAAAAAAGGAAAAAATAAATATTATTTGGTCCTTTTGTTTGTGATAAAAAATTCCCAAGTAAGATTAGATATTGGCAATGAAGGAGAAATCAGATTTTTAACACACTGATAAAATTTGACGGTTTTATTGAGGTTTTAATCCTGATACGGGAAAAAGCTGCATCTTTTGAGAATGACTCATACCTGCCTGACAACGATAAAAGAATCTCACTCTCCAACTTCTAAAAATGCCACTCAAAGAAGAAACTTGAGTTTACGTCATCTTGGTGTGACGTACTGTTGCTGTGGTTCTGAGACTGCGCATTGTCTTACGGCCACAGCCCAGGGTTTGAGCAACTGCTGCAACGAACGGTACCCAACGAACTACCCAATATAAGCCTGCCCATTGCACGCTCACGTTGCTCATTTTAGTAGACTTACAATTTTAACGTGTCCTCCTGTTTATAAACGTCTGCGTGTCTGCATCCCAACGTACGTGCAGTCGCTAAGCTGATCACGCGATTGTTGTTCACGCTTTTTCATCAAGGCCATGATGAAAACGCACACAAATTATTGCAGTGTGTGTGACACGATAGGTGACTGAAAAGAATTTCCCTTCACATGCGTCGTTGAGTATATTGCCAATGTACAAGCCCGAGGTTATCCGATCCGATTCGCTGATTGATGCGTGTCGTATTCCCATTTGAACGTCGAGGACTTAACTGTGTAAATTTCACAAGCTGCTGTCATGAAGCATTAGAGTGAGTGAGTGAGTGAGTGAGTGAGTTTAGGTTTACGCCGCACTCAGCAATATTCCAGCTATATGGCGGCGGTCTGTAAATAATCGAGTCTGGACCAGACAATCCAGTGATCAACAGCGATCAACAGTGATCCAGTGAGTATCGATCTTCGCAATTGGGCACCGATGACATGTGTCAACCAAGTCAGCGAGTGAAGCATTAGAGAATCTGTTACTAAATATTCAGCATTCAGCCACAAACAGTTACCTTGCAACAGCTGCTATACTATTGTACCCTGAAGTTACAATGAAATTTGGCGGAATACAATTTTTTGTGGTTCCGATTACATGTCTTTAAAATTTAGGGTAGGTAAGTGGATTTTTATTTTATTTTTCACATTGTTTTTTGAAGTAAATTGTTTATTCAATCAAGCTTGAGGCCATCATGTCCACTTTCTCTATCAGAATGACCAATGTCCGTTGGTGCCGGGGAAAAAACAATGGTATCTGAAAGCTTATTCTATTCATACCGCTTAAAACAATAGGGTCGGCACCAGAATTCAAGGGTCGGTCGGGTAATCGGAACCACAACATTTCTTTTAGGCCTTTACGTGACGACAACCAAGTCACAATGACAAGCTGCCTTTCAAATAGCAATACACTGATATTTTCAAAAACAGCAGAAAAAGATAGACAGTTTCACATGCCATCTATGTGGAAAAGCAATATGAACATCGGGGCGTGTACATTATTTCGGATGTTTTTATACTAGGTATGAAGGGAAATGCCATTATTAAAATGTCTCCATAGTGAACCCAACATCCTCGATAACACACGCACACACACACGTGTGGAATAAGTGAGGGTTGCCTACTTGTGTGTGGTACAAAATAATTTAATTTGAGCAAGACTACCAAGTCATCATAGAAGCCTCGACCCTCTTCTTCAGTGCGCGACGACCCGTGAAGATCCGGGGTAGAATAGGTCTTCAGCAACCCATTCTTGTCATAAAAGGCGACTATGCTTGTCGTAAGAGGCGACTAACGGGATCGGGTGGTCAGGCTCGCTGACTTGGTTGACACATGTCATCGGTTCCCAATTGCGCAGATCGATGCTCATGCTGTTGATCACTGGATTGTCTGGTCCAGACTCGATTATTTACAGACCGCCGCCATATGGCTGGAATATTGCTGAGTGCGGCGTAAAACTAAACTCACTCACTCACTCAGTGCGTCGACACATCGACATGGTGTAATATCCACCCTTCAAAAAGCGGCCCTTATGACATGCATGAGACATGGGGAACAAATGCTGGTGAACCTAGTACGTATAGGTATACAGCAATTTCTTGAAAAGGAAACGGTGTACATGTGTACATGAAAGAGCTTTTCAAACGATCAGCACGCTTTATAACATATACTTAACCGAGTACGTTCCGACAACGGTTATGTCGTCTTCTCCCTGAATACCCAAACTGGTAAACTGTCTTGACAGCAGAGCGTAACCCTGGTATCTTTTATCCACGTGCTGATAATAAACATATACATTCCTTTACCTGATGAGTAATAAACTGATGTTTTAACTGCACGCGCGGAATATAAACCTGATTTTACTTATACACATGCATTGTCATGTCATTGAAACTGTCAGATAAAAGGAACAAGTCATTTGAAACTTGCTGTAACAACATATTGCACACTTTATTAAAAAATATTAGGCTGAAAACAATCGCCAAAACATTGCAAAGGTAAGGTAAAAACACAGCTATGATACGCGTATAAAATTCATTACCATCGGATATGAATGTTTTGTTGCAATATTAGCCGCCCTAAACATGGATGTGTACTTTCATCTGCCAGGAAGGTAATTGGTGGTCATTCAGCACTCATCGGCAACTGTTTCAGATGAACCCATGGAGCGTGGTGACTGGAGTGACAAAATGGATTGGGCTCGGTAAAAGCAAGAAGCTGTGGACACAGCTCGCTGGACACCAAGGTGCTGATAATACAATAGAGTGAGTGAGTGAGTGAGTGAGTGATATTAACTGTAAAAGTGCAATATACTGACAATACGCTGTTCCTGTGTATTCCAGGCAGTTTCCAGGCAGGAGAATCCCAGACTGTCCTAAAGAAGTTGCTAGACCGGGAGCGACAAGCCTACGTTAAAATACAGAGTGATCCCCTTAAAGACTTCACCCCTGGATATAGGGGGGAAGTTCAAAAACAAGGGGAAAGTATCCTTCTGCTGTGTTGATGAGCAAGTGATAGATCCGGCCAACTGCACATTTGTATCCAGTAAGACGTCTTAAATGTGACAACATCATTGCTAATAGTTTAGGACATTTCTGAGTGAGTGAGTGGTTGCTTGGGTCGACTCCGTTTCTAGCGATGTACCAGCAGCCAGGTTTCAGTGTACCAGTGAAGGCTGTTACTACTGAGCTGCCCCATCCCGGTCGTATTAGTTCGACAAATTCGGGAGTGAAATTAAACTGAACTAAATATGTGTCCGTACGGTATGTCTATAGTGTTTAACTCAATCTCGCTAAAGTAGGGACGGATACAGGGTTTTCAGAAAGGGGTGGTGCACATTTCATTTTTACCCGTTTTCTCGAGAGTTTCAATGGTCATTTAATAAACTTTCAGGACAAAGAGGGGTGGGAGGGAAGGGATGGGTGTCTGTGTGTGCGCACCCTTGCAAACCACCAATCACCCACCCCAACCCCCTTTTCTGGATCCGCCTACGCAAAGTGATACAAACCTATTTTCCGGGAGGAATATGTGTTTGGTGCATCATTTTAAAATGTCCAGAATTGATTTTTTTAAATGTGGAGTGCCCACATCATTACATCACCATACCAGTCCACCTTGATGGTCCCCAGCTTATATTCAGCTGCAGGACCTACTGAGTGGGTTCACCTGCCCGTGTGTGATGGACGTGAAGATGGGCTGCCGCACCTACCACGAGGTGGAGTTGAAGAAAGCCAGGGAAAACCCGGTTTTAAGAAAGGTAATTTCAACACCTTTTAACAAGCGCTGTCTGAAATTTACGCCCAGACACCTGACGCGTCGAAAAAATTAAACTACACATATTAATGTCATGCATTTGTGGGTGAGGGATTGGAAACTGTAAGCTTTGAATAGCGGCAGCGCCGCGATGTCAGCTCCATACACGAAAGTTACTTTCAACACGTTTTTAACAAGAGCCTGTCTGAAAATAGCAACCAGTCAACCGACACGTTGGAGTAATGAAACTACACATGTTAAGGCCATGGGCCGACGCACTGTCAGGTGAGTTATTTGAAATTGTAAGTTGCATCGGTCACGCAGCGTTGTCAGTTCCATACGTGAAAAACACATTACGCCTTTCTATAAATGTCGCAAGTGAGGCTACTCATTTCGATGTCACTCGTGAACGGTTACGCCTTTGCGTAACTGTCATGCCTAACTGTTAGGCCGCGCTGTCAGTCCCACAGAAGAACAGTTATATGTATATTATAGGCCCAAGACTCAGATATTCGAAGCTCTCTTAGTGCTAAGATAGTCGTAAGTGCCATACATTGACATTAACGTACGACTATCTTAGCGCTAAGAGAGCTTCGAAATTCTAGGCACAGCTACGCATTTCCATATTAACGTCACACGTGAATGGTTACGTAATTGCGTAAATGTCATGCTGGGACGGTGTCGCCATATTCTCATTGTCATACGGGAATGGTTACGCCTTTTGTCAAAGTCATGCATAAAATGTAAGGAACTTTATTCCAATGTTGGGTCAGGCTTCGGTCAGGGAGACATTAGTTCCACGATCAGCGCATGACTAAAAACGTGATTCATTTAGTCTCTATTTCGTCATTGCTCGTACATATATATGTTTCATTTCCTGTTGTTTTACCTTAAGGACATTTACAAGAAGATGACTAACATAGACCCAGATGCACCAACGCAAGAGGAGAGAGAAAAACAAGGCGTGACCAAGGCCAGGTATCTGAGATGGAGGGATGAGATGAGTTCCTCGGTCAACCTCTCCTTCCGCATCGAGGGAATCCGGGTACGATATTGTTTTTAAAGTGTGCATGGGTACGTTGAAATAATGGTTTACTGGATGTGAATAAAATATGGATGAAATGGTGATAAATGAATATGTAAATGAACGAAATCATCATCGTTGTCGTCGTTTTTCTTTTAATTATTATAACAAGCATTGATAGTATCCACGTATAGAGTTGCTTCCCTTAGTTTTGCCAGAATCCTGTGGTTTAAAGCCCAGATTTGCCCGAATATGAATTTTGGCAGTTCAAAGTCCATCCGTTTAAAGTGGTTAGCATATCTTTACTGCAGTACTTTACTATCACACTATGTTTACAGTGTACGTTGTAAATGAAATGATAGTATTCAACGCCCATGAAGATCCGTCAGTAACCCATGCTTATCGTAAGAGGCGACTAACGGGATCGGGTGGTCAGGCTCTCTGACTTGGTTGACACATGTCATCGTATCCCAATTGCATACATTGATGCTGTTTATCACTGGATTGTCTGGTCCAGACTTGATTATTTACAGACCACCGGTGGAATATTGCCCAGTGCGGCGTAAAACTAAACGCACGTGGCTTTACAGCCAATTAGTACACTATATCAAATGATCCTTAAGTGTTCACACTATCAGTTTTTTATGGACTCTTGCAGAAAGATGACGGCAGTTCCAGTAAGGGCTTTAAACAAGTGCATCTGCGGGACGAAGTTCGAGAGAAGTTTAGGTTCTTTCTTGGAGGAAATAAAATCGCCTTGGTAAGATGACGTTAGATCGTTGTACTGGTGGGGGAGGTTGATACGGTCTTTAACCTGTGTTTGATGGCTTGATTTGGGCGTTGTATGGGAGGCGTTAATATGACGGTACAGGGAAGGCTTAATAAGGGTCATCCTGGACAATGGTTAAAGTGACCAGTTGTCTGGTGTGGGAGGGGTTAGCGTGGCCAGTTGTCTGGCGTTGTACTTGGGTGGGAGGGACTGATATGGTGTTGTACTTGTGAGAGAGGGTTTGATATGGTGTTATACTTGTGAGAGAGGGGATGATATGGTGTTGTACTTGTGTGGGATGGGATGATATGGTGTTGTACTTGTGTGGGAGGGGATGATATGGTGTTGTACTTGTGTGGGAGGGGATGATATGGTGTTGTACTTGTGTGGGAGGGGATGATAGGTGCGTACTCTATTTGTTCATTTCTAACGTGTTTATGACGGTGTATTTACAGGAGACGTACGTTAAGCGGCTGGAGGCCATCAAAGCTGCTGAAGAATCGTCGGAGTTTTTCAGTAAACATGAGGTGCGGCGCTAGTTGTTTATGGTGTTGGAATATGTCTTACCATTGTTGATCACTCGCGAACAAAACTGTTAAACGATGGTGTAACCATAAAAACCCGTTTCATCTTGTATGTGCGTGTTGATGTCGTTATGAGTGTGAATGTATGTGTTGATGTCGTGAGTGTGGACGTCACTGTCAGTGTGGTAACCTAAGGCTTAGACCCTGAATATATATAATTTTGACAGTCACAAATAAACCAATTTATGTTGAAAAGGAGCCCCAGTGAGTTGGGAAATTCTCCTGAAGCTGGGGAAATCTAGACTTACTTCAATTAGGGCTTTAGCATTGCAAGGAGGGCGAAGCAGAATAATAATATGGTTCAGGGACTGTGAGACAGACTATGAGTGTGTTGTTGTTGAGAGCTGGCAGTGGAGATTAATAAAATATAATGAACGGGAGTATATAACGCCAAGCTTGCCCCTTGGTAACCGTTGATTTCACTCACACTTGTTTCAGTTGGTCGGGAGTTCCCTGCTCTTTGTACACGATTCTGAGAAAGCCAACATATGGGTCATAGATTTCGGGAAGACTCAAGCCCTGCCGGAGGGAGTGAAGATTGACCACCGATCTCCGTGGGTTGAGGGCAATCACGAGGACCAATACCTTCAGGGCCTGGATAATCTCATTGCCATCTTCACAGAACTGGCCAATGACACATAGAGGTCATGAGAGAGACATCTCGTTACCCTGTACAAACCGATAGCCAGCTTATTTCCCAATGTATTTCAGAATGGGACCGTACCTAAGTAATCTACACATCTACATATCGCCTTCTCGAATACCAATGGCCACCGGATCTTTTACTTAATGTACATTTATTTTCTAGAAATACCCTAATTCTGACTTGGTCTCTTAATGAATACGAACAAATTGTTAGAAGAAGGTATGGAAAAACGTTATTATCAATATTTGTAAAAATACTGTTTGAAGACACAGATGTACCTATTAAATTGAGCTTCTAACAAAAGAGTGAGTGAGTGTGGTTTTACGCCGCTTTTAGCAATGTTCCAGCAATGAACACCAAAAATGGACTTCACACATTCTAACAAAATAAGCATACATGAAGTTAAACTAGTAAACGAATATTGCATTCGAACAAGTACTTCGTATTCACGCTATCAGTAATAGTTCTCTCAAGTTTCAGGGAAAATAGGGGTTCACGGGTGATTGTATAGGCATTATTTGGATTTCAAATTTTGTCCACAATTGTATTTTCGTTCATTTCATCGCTGTATTTTTTATGAACATATTTTACAAATTATAGTTATTTTGTTAGTTGTCCCGTTTTATATTTAATAAATCCCCTCAAACCATAAAGCGTTTCGGAATTTTTGTCACAATAACGCGAGGAAGACATTGAAACATTATGTGCGTTCCGAATGCTGCCTGGTCTGTACAGCGCCTCGGATTGTTGACCCCAACCAGCAAAACAGTTTTATATTCTGAATGTCAGTTGATATAACATTGTATCGAAATTTGTTTGTCGTAGTAGTTTTATAATATTGAAATTTGAATTTACAATGTAAGTGTGCGCTTTTATGAGTAATAGAATACAAATCACATGCATTTCAGGATGCAGACACAGAGAATCTCAGAGATGTGTGTGGTCTCTGGTTAAACAAATGTCAGAACGTTCAAGACGTCTTTCTCAGCTGTAAACGATCACCAGTTCGTGTTATAAATCAATGTAACTTAGAGAGACATTGACACTATATCATTTGCTTTTTTGTCAACAGAAGACATTATGTTACTGTAAATAGAAACATATATACACAAAGCACCCCCTGTATTTTTGCAGGGATAGGTTTTCAACACGTACATAAATCTTCTCGTGGTGACCAGTTTTTCTGCCCCTTATAATCCTTTGACTCATAAAAAAACGACAAAATTACTGGAATCCTTGCTGATTTTATGATAATTTCTCATTTCTATGTCTGTACAAGTATGGCCCTGGGATGTTTAATGTTTAATTTATCGGTGAATGTGAACATTCAAAATGTCATTTTCCGTGTCTTAAACGATTCAAGGTCAAGAGTGTAACCTCCACGTGACTGTATAACAGCCAGCACTCTCCTCCTCATACCCGTCATCCTCTGAAGGGGCAGTCTACGCCATTCCTCGTCTAAAGCAGCTTCCAATTGGACCAGCTTCTGTACAGGATGATCCCTTTGTTCACACGTCGACCAGTCATGTCCCAGATATGCTCCAAAGGGTTAAGATCGGGGCTCATTCAATCGTGAGATATGTCAGGGGTGCTTAACTAAGTTCTTTGTGTAATTATAAACTTGTTGCTTGACTGCTAACCTTGACATATTTCATAAACGACTCATTTGCCAATATTCGAGTCAATATTGAATTATTCGGTCTGTAATAAATCAAGTCTGGAACAGACAAATGGTTAGTGACATCAAGGACATCGATTCAGACAGCTGGGATGACCCGGATCAACCTTGTCAACAGTCCCGACCACACGGTCCCGTAAGTCTTACAACAAGCATGGGTTGCTGAGGAACTATCATAACACGTATCTTCACGGGTAAATCAGGTGCATCACGGACAATCAAGTCTTAACGACCCTAAGCACATGATCGATTTACACCACTCTCTCAGAGAAGATCTAGAGTTGCTTGGAACGAATATTCCTACACGGATGTCGCGAGTTTTTCAACATGTCATTCACAGATATTATAAAGTCTCATTGAGAGATACGGGAATCGCAATGTGCTGTTCTGTGTTGAAAAAGCAATACATGCATTATTCTCGACCAGCATCAAATTGACATGCTTGCAAGTAAATAAAATACTGTTCAAAGGCTTTACAGTCATTCTCAACTATTCTCTAATGTGTGGTCGACCTCCATGGACTAGTGGCTTCAGCGTCTGCCCGCTTAGTCCCTGAATATGTATAAGTTTGATTGTAGTGAGTGAGTGAGTTTAGTTTTACGCCGCACTCAGCAATATTCCAGCTATATGGCGGCGGTCTGTAAATAATCGAGTCTGGACCAGACAATCCAGTGATCAACAGCATGAGCATCGATCTGCGCAACTGGGAAGCGATGACATGTGTCAACCAAGTCAGCGAGCCTGACCACCCGATCCCGTTAGTCGCCTCTTACGACAAGCATAGTCGCCTTTTACGACAAGCATGGGTTACTGAAGACCAATTCTAACCCGGGACCCTCACGGGTTAAGTTTGATTGTAACAAATACACCCATACATATTGAAAAGGAGCCCCAGTGAGTTAGGAGATTCCCCCTAACCTTGGGAAATCTAGACTTGCTTCATTTCGAGTTTTAGCATTGCAGGGAGGGCTAGGCATTAGGGGTAAAAAGTGGTTCAGGGACTGTGAAACAGACTAGTTTTCGATTCCCCAGCCGCGTCATACGAAATGACGTCATAAGACCTGATGTTACCTAAGCTGGTTCACGAACCCCCTTGCCCGCGCCAATCTGTATGTTGCGATATGCGAACGGGGCCCACTCAAACTGTTTTGGGGCATTATGGGGATAGAGCAAGGAGTGGTCGGCTCGGAGTCAACATACTGTGTCTGACTAGGGTATCCATGTGCGTTGCCATTTAAGTGAAATAACGCGATGTTAACACCCATCTCACACGTGGATCCCTCACGCACGCACACAAAATCTGGGCATATTCTGCAATAACACAACATTTTTACTGAAATGTTTTATTCATTATTGTCAACAGTGAAAACATTTTGTTCAAATATCATCAAAATGCTATCCTTAAGACCCAGAAGGGAAAGAGACTGAAACATAACAATGGGCAGCTGGTGAAAATCCCCTAGCACCTGCATGTTGCTCATCTCGGGATACTTTCAATGTCTATGGTTGTTGTTCATTATGAAGTGGCCAATTACATAACCAGCTCTTAGTCTAGTTTAGGGCCAGCCTCCTTCAAATATACACATGACAACAGTATTCACTACACCAACATTACATCACATACATCCTATACATGTATACACCACTCTAAATGTTTAGGGACACACTATTATTTCATATTACTACAGGTAATCCCTAATATGAATGAAAAAGGCGTTTCAACACCTTTTTCCTAAAAATACATTTCCTGAAAGAATACAACAGTTTTTACAGTTCCTTGAAGAACGATCAAGGTGCATGTTGCAAGATGGACGGTAATTCTACTAGTGCCACCGATTTCATCTTGTCTTACAGATCAGTCATACATTTTGAAAATGTAATGTATTATTTAAATACTATTTAAAGATTCATTACACAAAGCATAATTCGAAATAATACCTGTTAAAAATTTTAATGAGGGAAACAAACAAAAAAGTATGAAATTAGCCACATCGTCCATGATTGACGTTGCTGGCATTGCTCTGTCCTGTCATTTCATATTCTTAGGAAAGTGGGGTTCGTCCCAGAAGAATGCGTTGGAAAATAGTCAGGTTGCAGATGGAAAAAGGTAACGGACTGCAACTGAAAACACATTCTCATTAATCTTTTGTCTTAAACAAAAAATTAGTTTCACTATATAACACATCTGTTTTTACAGCTTCTTCTGCCTCCATACTTAATCTTTTCTATCCAAAAACACAACAGCAAATTATCCTTCCCTAATAACATTCGACATGTGGCTTCTATTGTTGGGAATTGATTAAAATCTCATAATTGATGATTGGTCCATTACAACCGATCAATCATCGAAAATAATTGGTTAGCGTCTTTTATCAAATTGTCCTGGCTATGTTTGTTAATGCACAAAAAATAATGAAAAAAACCATGCAGTTCTTTTGGGGGTTTTTTCTTTCAAATTTCACGTCTTTAAAGGATGACTATTATGTTTGGAACATAAATTTCTTGGAGTCTTCAAGATAAATTTAATCACGACTTGGAACGAGCTTGTAGTGCTTATGAAACGTAACATTAAAAAAACCCTTGTGATAAATAATGTTAATGCAAACAAGTATTCCAAAATTGCTTGTGTTCGATTATGACAAAACATGATTGATTGCTTGGTCGTTTAGTCATTGCGACCAATCTTCGATTATTTCAATTAATTGGACCACCACTAGTGGCTTCAATAGTCATAAATGACTAAAGATCTGTAAAACAAGAAATATAACTTGTCTGGCACAAAAATTAAAATAGATACTGCACAAAACATAATATATTCACATTTAAGGTGAGTGAGTGAGTGAATGTGAGTGAACGCTGCATCAGCAATCATGTAACGACATCAGTTGAAGACATAGTATCACATGACAATAAATAAGAAACATTCAACCCAGCAATTAAACAAAGTAAATGTTTTAGGAGTTTACAGGAATACACCAATCTGACATAAAAAAAATTATCTTTAGGGAATCTCATTAAAATCAGACCTTAGTTCTCTGTCAGAAAACAAGGAACGCATTACAAGTCACCTCAGAACCAACATTTGTGCACTTTGACACACCAATAAATTGATTCACAAGAAGCTGACTAAAGAAGACAAAAAGCAGGTTTCTTGAATTTGACAGCACTAGTATGAAACTGGTAACTACTCCCTGAAAATCTGGTTTACCAGAATGGCAGATAATGGGTGGTAGTTGTATCTTCAGCACATTCACAAACATTATGAAGGGTAATAAGTGGTCCCCAAAGGGCTAAAATAGAAAATTAAGGGTCCCAAAGATAGAAAATAAAGGCTTCCAAAGGGCAAAGATAGAACATCACGGATCAACCAATAGCTTAGATAGAAAATTGAAGGTCCCAAAGATAAAAGATAGAAAATCCAGTGTCCACAAAGTGCTCAGGTGGATAATTAAAGGATTCTCAAAGTTTAACATGATTAATAATCACAAAATGGTATGACCTCTAAGTATCATCTGACATCTGTAGAGAGTGAATTTGGTTTTATGCCAATTTTTAGTAATATTCCAGCAATTTCACAGAGGGGGACACTAGAAATGCGCTTCACACATTGTACCCATGTGTGGAATCGAACTCAGGTTTGACGACTTTGAGAAGCGAATGCTTTAATCACTAGGCTACCCCACTGTCCCCCCTGACATCTGTATGATATTGTATGACAATAAGAAGGTAACTAGCACTCAGCGTGAGTCCCAATGATGTGCCTCCACAACAGTAAGTGAATAATAAATGAAGTGGTATCACTAGGTAGCTAAACTAGGGCTACACTAAGACTTAACACGAAGGACAATTGTGAACTAATTTAAACATCTACTGTACCATGAATTTCTTGAAAACTTACTGATATAAGGTATGTTTAATATTAGTAGCATTAATATAAGGAAGGATAACAATATATGGATGAACGACTTTATTACAGCCTGAGCAGCATTTTGGTGTAGGTTCTAACACCATTATCATCACTTGCTTGATATTCTTATCCTTCCTTACTGCTAAACTTCTAAATGCCTCTCAAAGTAGTAGTTTTATAATACAGGCATTCACAACAAAGTATGTTTGTCAGTTTCAGTGAATAGGAACTCTGAAAGTACTTTCCAAAACATGGATCATCATTGACTAAAGCCAAGTACAGCAACAGTCCACTAGCAGTTTATTGATTAATGTCCCGACATTCAACTCCATATTTTGTTGCTATGAGTCTTGTCACAAAATCTATAAACATGGGAAATAGATATTGAATGTTAACTTGTGAGAAGTCTTCCCAAACTGGACATACCAATATTATTTCTTGTTGCAACACCTGTAAACTTTACCATCACTGATCCTTCATGAGGAGAGCAAAGTATCAGTGTGGGTGGGGCTGTTGAAGCTGGTTACCTGAGGTTAATACCGGTACAGCGGGTACTAATGAGGGCAGAGCTCATAAAGTGGGGTACCCATGGGAAAGGGAGGGGCTGTTCAAGGGGGTTTACAGGTGTGGGAGGGGTCAATAAAGTGGGGTACCAATGTGGGAGGGAGGGGCTGTTGAAGCCGGTTTCCTGAGATTAATACAGCGGGCACTAGCGTGGGTGGAGCTCATAAAGTGGGGTACGCATGGGAAAGGGAGGTGCTGTTTAAGGGGGTTACAGGTGTGGGAGGAGTCGATAAAGTATAAAGTGGGGTATCGATGTGAGAGGGAAGGGCTGTTTAAGGGGGTTACAGGTGTGGGAGGGGTCGATAAAGTGGGGTACCGATATGAGAGGGAAGGGCTGTTTAAGGGGGTTACAGGTGTAGTAGAGGTCGATAAAGTGGGTACCGATGTGAGAGGGAGGGGCTGTTGAAGCAGGTTACATGTGTGAGAGGGGTCGATAAAGTGGGGTATTGATGTGGGAGGGAAGGGCTGTTTAAGGGGGTTACATGTGTGGGAGGGGTCTATAAAGTAGGGTAACTTTGTGGGAGGGAAGGGCTTTTTAAGGGGGTTACAGGTGTGGGAGGGGTCGATAAAGTGGTGTACTGATGTGAGAGGGAGGGGCTGTTTAAGGGGTAACAGGTGTGGGATACCGATGTGGGATGAACTGTTGAAATGGGGGTGGGAGGGGCCGATAAAGTAGGGTACCAGTGTGGGACATGTAAATATTAATTATCTTTCCGGGTATTTTGAAAAGATAACGAATCAGATTTCATAACTGAATAAGAAAAATCATGTTAACAAAATGCCAATTCATAAATTGAAAAGTCACAGCAATCAAAATATTTAAAAAGCTTCATGTACCAGTGTGATGAATGTATTTTTGAAAAAATCATGGAGGTGGGGTGGCATGCTGACATAATTAACAAAAAGCATAAATACAATCAAAATTTACAACAGTTGAAAGATTATGTACATCTCAAACTTGAACATATTCAAACAAAACAAGTCTGTTCAGATCCTACAAAGGTGGACTCTCACACATACTATGAAAACAGATATAGATATCTACAAACGCCCAGTGATGTGGTAATGGTATGCAAATGATATGCAAATGAAGGTGAATAGAGAACTGAGACAAATGCCAATCAAGAAGATTTGATAGAAATATTGTGATTCTCAAAGGACTTGTGTTTACGGGCATAAAACTGTGCCTGCATAGTGAGGAGAGCCTGTTTCAAACTTGTATTTTCAGGATTTTTCAACACATTTCGCATCAGCTGCTTTGATTCTTGTCTCAGTTCGGTCAACTCCTGCTGAAGTGCCCGATTCTGGATAATCATTTCGCCAGTCCTCATTGCGATCTCCCACAAGCCCAGCTTCTTCAAAGCTTCAGTTGTCCGAGCAAAACGCTTCTTCTTCTCAGTCTGTACAGAATCATCCAGATGAATCTGCTTTGGACTGGAACTGGATGCGGACTCCATCTTGCTCAATGAATACTTCCTCTTGAGCAAGTTGCGGTCTCTGTGGTCACAACTGTCCTGGTAGTTAATGTCAATGGCGTCAGTCACACACTGGACTGGCAAGGGAACACATGACACTCCTGTAGCTGGGGCCGAAGTAACAGGCAGGCTCTGTTCATCCACAAGTCCTGAAGATGATGGTGTGGAGATAGCTTTACCTCTTGCTGCACTCTGAAGCATAGAATATGAACTGTATTAAATCACCTTAAGTGAGATAACTATAATATTAATATTACTATATTAACTGCCATTTATAAAGCGCCTGTTTCCACATGCTTCTGCATGCTCCAAGCTATCAAATCTTGTCTTTTTCTTGTCTAATCATGCAAATTCAAAACATACCAAAAAGCTTTGAAAATGGACAGTTGAATTTTTGTAATATTTGGCAAAATGAACAAATATGTCCGAAAAGATTGTCCTGTGTATTTAGGCATGAAGAAATTAAACACATCAATGTCATCGTTCTGCGTAGAATGTCATGAATGATGCTTGAAAAACATTTTCATTAAGACTATAGGAGTCATTAGCTTTAAGCAATATTCCAGCAATATCACAGCTGGGGACACCAGAAATATGCTTCAGACATTGTACCGATGTGGGGAATTGAACCTGGGTCTTCAGCATGATGAGTGTATGCTTTCACCACTAGGCTACCCCATCACCACTCATTACATGTCAGTTCCAGAACGGAAGTGACAAACATGTTTAACAGATATTTTAGCTGACAAATTCCATTATTTTGACAAAATACATACCATGCTCCTTGAATGTGCATTGCTGTGATGAAGAGAATCAACCTCTGAATAGCTGGAGCTATCTGTTCAGGAGTAGAAAGGCTGTGTAAGTACATATGCTATCATTGTGCATTATGATAATGGTGATGATGATGATGATAGTAATAATGGCTATTTATAAAGCACCTGTTTCCACGCACTTGTGCATGCTCAAGGTGCGAACACAATATTACCCTGGATAACACAAGCTGTGAAGGCACTAGAAGGTAAACATTCATATGGCTTATCCCACTGGGTACCCACTCACTGCTGGGTGAACAGGCAATTTATGAATAAATTCACTTGCCTAGGGTGAGACCACATGTGTCACGTGTGAAGACACGTTGTACATGGTCTGAAGGACACATTTAAAATGGGGAAATGACAATTTATGAAAAAAGTTACATAATCATTATAAAACTACATAATCTACCCTTGAAATCAACTATCTATGAACATGTGACTAATACAACAAGATACAACGGAATTATCCAGATAATCATCAAATACATCAACAAGTATTACATGTAAAACAAAAAGTCAAATCTAAACATCCACTCTCTGATTTGGTTACTTGGTAACTTGTTTGACACAATTGGTATCCCAATTACGTAGATCAATGCTTATGCTGTTGATCACTTGATTGTTTGGACCAGACTCGATTATTTATTTTTTTATAATTATTATATATCACTCATGATTTGGCCCAGCCAAAGTCGTGTTCTCCCAGCACCTTGTTATGTGACATAAACCACTGAATTGAACTAAGCTCAGGACAAGATGGTGTTTTGGTTCTTTCCCTCTCAAACACATTCACCTCATCCCCTCCTCTCCTTATGTATCCGAGGTTCCAGCTGACCTCAATCTGGAGCCCCAGAGTATAACCGTACATAATTGTATATATTTTCCGCCACAAGTGTAATAAGCTGCCTTTCACACTGAATTAACAGTAATTATCTTCATGTAAGAGCATGGTCAGCTAGAACCCTGTTTTTCACAAATTGTACCAAAGCTTAATTATTTTTCCCATACTGTCCATATATCGGGCCATTAATTAATTTTGCTTCACCAAAGAAGCAAGTTACTCTCTTCATACGAAGGAAGGTTTTGCTGACATACTGCGAATTAAAGTTTTGAAAAAACCACAATACTGCAAGTGATAAAACCAACAAAATTTAGGGGGCATACCTGTAGAAGCTTCCCCTCCACTGAATGCTGGACCCTCCCGCAGTAAGGAGGACATGCTTGAAGGGTTCAGCCATGAGGACGACTGCGACAACAAATGCTGCTGCTGCTGCTGCTGTTGCTGGTGAAGGATGTTGAGCACCTGCTGGGTGGGGTGGCGAGGTGAGTACTCCTGACTGGGCCAGCCTATCCGATGGTATCCTATCCAAGGTTCTGAAGAAGAAGAAGAACTGATATTTTACCATATTGGCAATAGACAACAATTGGCAACAGCTACCAGCACAGTATTATTCCTATGACGACAACAACTTGAGGAAAACACATCATGTCAGTATGAGCAAGTGTACATACCAGGGCAATAAATGATTTGGTGAAGGGCGGTGGGATAGCCTAGTGGTTAAAGTGCTCCCTCGTCATGCCGAAGACCTGGGTTTGATTTCCCACATAGGTACAATCATGTGTGAAGCCCATTTCTGGTGTCCCCACCCTGATATTACTGGTGTTACCAACTAGGTTAGCCAAACGCCTCCAATACAGCAATAAGCATGAAGAGTTGTTGGCCTTACATTATATTTACCCTCAAGGAGTTACATTAACCCTAACGCAAGCACAGCAAGGGTGGAAATAACTTTAAAATTGCACATGTACTCCGGGACAGTGGCAGTGACAGTGTAGAATCCCTTGCCCTGATATTTTTTTGCACTATACCGGCCAATTTTCTTGTTGATTTTTTAAATAAACAACATAATTAACATTGGAAAGTCAACTGGACACCGATACAGCGTGATATACAAATTTGCTTGCCCGACAGAAAAAAACACTGGACTGGGACGTCGGGCAATGGGTTATTTTCACCCCTGCACTGGGAATTCCAAAGTCAAGTTGACGAACATGGTCACCCATCCAAGGACGCTCCACAACAAAGGTTGCTTATCGTCACTGGATCTGCATCCTGGGAGCTGTACAAATTGTCCTAAAACCATACTATACTAATTTGTACCATCAAACACCAGCATATGACACAGTGACTTTTCACTGACAATTCCATATTGAAGGATGTTTGATGAGAGATGCTGATGTGAGACACCATATTGAGTAGGGCTGGAGGTATTGATCAAATAAGGAGTTAACCAACAGATCTTGTGTCCATCAGCGACTATCGATTTGCTCTGGGAGACTAATAAAATGAAACAAATGACTAAATCGAGCGTAAGTATCAATGCCACACAAACATCTTCATAGTGGGAACACTTTCAACAATTTCAACCTTCGGTCATTTCTGAACATAATCAAGTACACTATAGTTAGGGTTCAACAATATATACATATACAGCTTTGCTTGAATAAGTCATTCAATGTATCAGAAGACGCATGGAAAATTTTATGCATTCTGGTGACCTTGACCTTTCACAACAGCCAACCATATTCTTGCCTTATTAGCATAAGTCATAAGAGCAAACTTGATGAAAAATGTCAACACATCACATTTGTTCAGCAGTATATAGGATATAGGTTATTACAAATACTGACTTATTGGTGCGAACAGTGCACAACACTACTGATAATATTAATGAGTCACAAAACACTCAAATGAACATTTATAATTGCCTATAGCATTGTGTTGTAAGTATGTATCAATGTGTTAATCAAAACCTAAGTCATCATGGTTCTTGCATGTATAGTGACCACCAATGACATATCTGGAAGACATTTATTACCTCCCTAACAACATCTGTAGCAATGTATGAATCTTTGAAATAAAGGATGGATTACCAGATTACCCTTAACAGCATCGGTAGCAATTTGAATCTTTGAAATAGTGGATGCATTACCTAGGTAACAACATCTGTGGCAATGTATCAATCTTGTAAGTAGCAGATGTATTGGGTGAGTGCATGAGTGAGTAAGTTGGGTTTACGCCACTTTTTGCAACATTCCAGAAATATCACGGCAGGAGAAACCAGAAATGGGCTTCACACATTGTGTCTATGTGGGGAATCAAACCCGGGCCTTCGACGTGACAAGCAAACACTTTAACCACTAAGCTACCCCACCAGCCCAGATGTATTGGGATGTAAGAGGCAATGAGAAACTTGCAACTGAGATTTTGGTATCATGATAGCATTGATGATTTTAATAGTTATCACACTCACACACAACAAACAAACAACAAACAAACACACTCACTGCGAAGACTGACTGACTGAGTTTGGTTTTATGCCACTTTTAGCAATATTCCAGCAACATCACGGCAGGGGACACCAGAAATGGGCTTCACACATTGTACCCATGTGGGGATTCGAACCCGGGTCTTCGGTGTGACGAGCCAACGCTTTAACCACTAGGCTACTCCACCGCCCCCTCACTGCGAAGAAACACCCTTACTAACAACCAGCAAAAACCCTGTCTTACAATTACAAGGATAACCTAAAAACAATCACCCTCAATTTAAAACTGCACTCATCAAACATGTCAAATGTTTCCACAAGAACCCCTACTGATAAACATCTTAAACAAAAAGAACTAGATTCTGTACTTTATTAAGAAAGTGTAATCCCAAATATAACATATGTTACATTTGACCACTTTCTAAAATGGCATTGTGTATTTCAAAAGAACTAATCTTATTCCAAGTTACACCAAACCTAAATGCCCTTCAAAGATTTACACCAAACCTGATTGTACAACAAAACATTTTTCAACAGAAATATAATGAATGTTCAAGAGTTCAAGGGTACCACCTCCTGGCTTGTACTGCAGACCTCTGTGCTCAGATACACACACATCCTGGATTCCAGGTAATATCACATGTTGGATAATATCCACCAACTGTTGGATACAGACTGCAGTGCCATTCTTAGGAGTCGTCGTGTCCGCCTCAGCAACTTCAACTTTCATTGTAACTGTCTTATTTGTCTTCCAATATCTTCCACTGTTTGTAGCCCCGTACTGTGGACTGTGGTAATAGGCTGTTCCTGGTTGACAACTTTCAGTATATATTCTGTTTCAGACTTAAACTACATGGGAACCATCCACGGGCATATCATGTTTTCACTTATCCATCCAGAAAAGAGACTGTTCAAACAATTAAATCCACCAGGTTAATCATTTCAGTAATTTTTCAAACATTGTTCAACACACTTATATTGACTTGTACGAAAACCCTTCTTCACATAATCACAGTATGTACTCCATCTGGTCAATCAATGTATCACAGAAACAAGGATATCCATGGCAACACTTTCAGAAAACTTATCCTTATACTGTAGGAAAAACCTGCAATCAATCTTGGCTTGAATCCTCCAAATTTTCCAAAAGCAGACTTTCAAAATCTTAAATGCTTCTCAATATCATCTCCTAATAAATTCATTTTCACACAGAACTTGTCAGAAGAAAACTCAGTTGTCATCCTCAAAGCTCGCACTGGCACTAGCTGCTCATGAACTGAGATCTCCCTGGCACGATCCCCACTACTTGAAGTTCAGGGTCAGACTTCATCATGCCGAGCAAAGCTCAGTGTTTTATCACTGCACATTTTACGATCCCAGTGTTTGTTTTCAGAGAAACAATATTTACGATCAGCTCACAAACAGCAGCCAATGACAGCGAGCCTCAATCCCCGAGGCCAACTCAATGTGACAATGTGCTCCTGGCCACCAAGCACACAACGTGAGCCCACTTAATCTGTTACATGCAGTTTGCCCACGTGAAAGATCAGTCCCCATACCAGCTTCTAGACATTTGAAATGGCTATGAAATAATTAACATATACTATACATATCATTACAGTCACTGCAAAAATTCATTCAAAACAAATAGTCATTTATAAACGATTGCACATGGCTCCTAAACATGGGAGTCACCTTGACTCACTCTTTGTCATAGAATAAGGGTTCTAAGACAGTGTCAGTAGGTTTCTGTTTATATTACTTAGGCCAAATAAAACAGATGTTGTGGTTCCCATTACACTCTTTAAAATTTAGGGTAGGTAGGTTGGAATTATTTTTTTCACATATTTTTTTTAGAAGTAAAGTACAAACTAATAACACATTTATCAATGTGTAATTGTTTATTCAATCAAGCTTGCAGCCAGCATATTGACTTTATCTATCAGAATGACCGATATCTGTTGGTGCTGGGAAAAAAACAATGGTATCTGAAATCTTATTTTATTCATTCCACTGACATAAAATAGGGTTGGCACCAGAATTCAAGGGTCGGTCGGGTAATCGGAACCACAACATTTTTTTAGGCCCTATCATGAGAATCGAGTGCATCAATGGACCGATCAGCAAAATGATGATGTCAATTATTAAGGTGTTAAAAGTCTGTCCACAAACATTTCGTGATATTTATTATCTCTTGTCACACGAAGATCGCTATTAAAAAATGATAACAGCATTGGGCAAAAGAGTTAGGATCCATTACAATACAAATCATGAAAAGTAACATTTAATATCTTCAATTACCACACATCACACCAATTCTGACTGATGTGAATTTCACTACTGATATTTGGCAGGGCCAGTGAAGTATGATGTGGGCTAGCAACATATTTACTTAACTGGCCGTCCTGGCCTGTGACTTTTCAAAATTATTTCATACACTGGGTACATCTTGGACTAGAAATAACAAACCTGTAAATCTAACAGTACAAAGGCACCATACAGGCACTAACCCTTTCTTAAAACCCTGGCAGGTGTTTTCAACACTGCTGTTTAAATACAGCACAGCAAAATAAATTATATGTAGAAGGTCTGAAAATAATCAATTACAGAGAGCTTGAATATGGCAGTGATATCAGTTCGAGCACTTAACTTATGTCTTATGAATACATGTACTCTGAAATTTGAGCATCAAAGTTATTCATATGTTTCATATATTGTTGAGGTCTGTCATAAAATATCAATTTCAAACCAAAACGAACATAAAGAATGCTAAAATAATAACTTCAAAATGCTATTTCAAGACATAGAAGTATCAACAACTCCATACAACTTTGTCTGGCACATGAACACACTTTCTAGCTTTAAAATGGTTCCAAATTTTCCCTGCATTCAAATCAGGAGAAAAAGGTTATCAAAAAGCTCATCCCTACCTGAATCTTGCTCCTTTCTCCCTGTCTTGTGTTGGCCAGTGTAGACATTAGTCCGCCTGACAATACACAGATCTTCTTTGTTGTCTGGTGTGGAGCACCTAGAAATGCTTGGCCCATTATCAATCATACTTCCTTCAATTCCCTCTGTGACAGCATCGTCATCTAATTCTTGATGATGTATAGGACCCATATTAGTCATATGTCACTGAAAACAAGAGAAAAACTGTTAAGAATCCTCTAGAACTAGAACAAAAGACATTCAGGAACTCTGTTCCCCCATATTGTTTTTGTAATAGATTAACAGAGGTAACGTAACGTGGTTCGACCCTATATATTGTAATTAATTTAGGGGCTTTTAGATATTTTTGTGAGTTCTCAACGTAATTGTTGTGTTACGGGTTTTTTAATAATTTTAGCATATATTAATTTATAAATATTATTTGGTATGGGGGAGCGGGAAGAACTCTTATCGTCATTCAAAGAAGTTATATGTTGTTACTCTGCATACCCTGTTACCTGGCAACTCACCCTAGTCAATACTACGCCTTACAACCATACAGAAATTATTGGATGAATCACGTTACCACTCATCAACCATTAATTCTTTGTTGGATATAATACAAGCCAACACTTGTTTGATAGTGAAATGTACAACAAGGTTATTTTCTGAAACAGACCATATATACTTTGCATAAATAAAAAATTTTAAGTCAGTGAACAAACAGAGTTACTTCCCTTGTCCAAACGGGCTGCATTGCCAGAAATTATGAAAATATTACAGTCAAGCAATGTTGTTTAACAAGGACGGTAGAATAAGATGGAATACTGAAACAATTATCAGAAAAAATAACTGCAAAATATTTTTGGCAGAATCAATTTCACATTAAGCGCATGAAAACAGACATAGTCTGAAAAGAAGAGATGAGACGCACGCGAATTATCACTAGTCTTTTCCTTCCCACTGACCCAAGGGTTACGAACAGGATTGGGGGTACCATAAGCTTATTTTAACACAAATAGTCCTGTGGCTCGAAGAGGCATTTTCCGGTACTAGCTATTATTTTCGTGCGACATATTTTGTTTTATGACACTAATGAGAGGTAGACGGCTTCTAAAATCACGCCTTCTGGCATTCCGTCCGTCAGGTTTCTGATCTAAAGCAACGTTTTCAAAAGAGGAAGCACAAACTTACCTCTCATCCGTATGTAAATTGATATTCCGATTCACAACAAACATGTACTTAAGCAAAAGCAGCAGAGTAAATTCCCGAAATCACGTCTGCTGTGGATAGACTTTACAGGCAAGCACACTCCCCGACACGTGAGGCAGTGTTATTGATTTGTTGTTGAACAAGCTCGCGTTTTGATTGGCTGTATTCTGAGCAAGCGATTTCGTCACGTGTTTGATAGCTTTTCGCCACGCCGTACAATCCTCAGCTCAATCCCATTGTTAAAAGGGCTCGATTGACAAATGTGATGTTTTGCAACCCGTTTTAAGGCACATGAACATCACGTTTTAAAATATTGAATATATAATATTTCTCTCTCTTTCCAAGAATACTGTTATTGTTACGAACGAGCGCGCGAATTTATATAGCTTCAGAGATGAATTATATATGTGTCTACAGATGTGAAACCAGCGTTTGAAATTAACGTCGGTCCTTAAGCCCGAAGCCGACTGAAAACAACCCGGACCCACAGCTTTTGTTTTGTGCAGGTCCTTATGGCCGAGACCTTCTCCGTGGTGTAGTGGTTAAATAGTACTTGTTGGTCCCTGCCTGACGCTCGGCATTAATGGGTACAGCAAGGACTGGTCGGCTCGGAGTCAGTATAATGTGTCTGAGTGGGGTATTCATGCTTCACTGCGGCATGGTATCTCAGTTGGCTAGCACTATAAAACCAGCTTCAGTCTGGGCTAGTACAAGCAGTCGCACATACACATACCAGGGGCGGATACAGCTTTTTGAGAAAGGGGTGGGTGGTGGGTGGGGTGTGCACACTATTGAGAAAAGGAGGGGTGCACACTTCATTTTCACCCGAGTTTCAATTCAATGGTCATTTAATAAACTTTCAGGACAAAAGGTGTCCACCCTCCTCTGTATCCACCTATGCATATGAAATATTCTCAAGCACGACGTTAAACCCAATATCACCTCACCTCACCATTTGGCCGACAGCTTTTTTATCCCCTAAGGGCAAACACTGTGTGAAACGGTTCAAAATCGGACATGCAGAGGACATTAAAGTGGCCATATGAAATATTATTCGCTGAATATGCCTTCAATCTGGATACGAAAATATACAGCTCAGCTGCTCATCTTCCATCACAGTGGGAGTTTGTGCCTGCAACTTCATGTGAGGTGAGTGAGTGAGTGAGTTTAGTTTTACGCCGCTTTTAGCAATATTCCAGCAATATCACGGCGGGGGACACCAGAAATGGACTTAACACATTGTGCCCATGTGGGGAATCGAACCCGGGTTTCGGCGTGACGAACGAACGCCTTAACCACTAAGCTACCCCACCGCCCCTGAGGTGAGGTGAGGTGAAATGGGGTTTAACGTCGTACTTGAGAATATTTTGCTCATATGACGACGTACATGCGTGTATATGTGTATGTGCGGCTGCTTGTACTAGCCCAGAATAAAGCTGGTTTTATAGTGCTAGCCCACTGAGATACCACGCCGCAGTGAAGCATGAATACCCCACTCATACACATTATACTGACTCCGAGCCGACCAGTCATTGTTGTACCCATTAATGCCGAGCGCCAGGCAGGGACCAACAAGTACCACATTTTAACGTCTTTTGGTATGACGCGGCCGGGGACCGAACCCGCGACCTTCCACTCTCCGGGCGGACGCTCTAACCACTACACCACGGAGGCGGTGCCTGCAACTTGAAGTTAATGTTGAATGTATAAATGCAATCGGCAATGAAAACAGGTTAAATGTACAGAAAGACCTTGAAACTCAGTATGACGCCCCACAACAAATCACGTAAATCACGGAGTGATCACTAGATTACGTAATAACGACGGCAGCTTGTTGTTATAATCGCTCCCAGGGACACAGATCGATATATTGGGATCTCCACCGGGTCGCCGCACTCAACACTGTAGGCCTATTTGTCACTAGCTCGATTATTTACAGACCGCCGCCATATAGCTGGAATATTGCCGAGTGCGGCGTAAAACTCAACTCACTCACTCACGGAAAGAGGATATTTAGGAGATAATTTAATCGATGCATCGGTAGGTTGTTTGGTGTCCGCCATGATAGTGGGCAGGCAAAAATAGTGCATTACCGTAAACCATGTATGATTGCGCACGGAAAACAGAGACCTGTATAACGTGATTATATACCTCTGAATGACTTTAATTAACCAATCACAATCCAGTGTTTACTGAAGTCATTGTAGAATGTGGTTTAAACATATTTTTATTCAATTTAAATTGAATAGGGAACGGTGAACAAGCTGTAAGCTTATATGAACACCTCTCCCTTACAATAACAAATAATAATGACATAGTTTTGCTGTTAGTCATGTATACGCTGTACATAGTCCAAAAGAAGAGAGGTATGTCAACATCATAGGTTGAGAGTAAACAATCATTATCTGGGAGAAAAGGGCGTCAAATCTGCCTGATTTTACGATATATAAATGAACAGATTCAAGAATCTACATATTTACAGGTGCAGTTGCATGGACATTTCCGAATAATACTGAGTCTAATGTATATCCTTTTTGGTAAAAGTACATGTTATTTCGCGAGTTACAGTATATATTGGACAAGTAAAGAAAAAGTGAAAACTCTCCTCATTTGCTAGTCCACATGAGCATATCGGACTTTCTAAAATGTATCTTTCATATTTTTGTCAGCAGTTCACTGCAGCCGAGTCGCAGGCGGGATATTGTCATTTGTGGGAGCATGCAGGATACGCGAAACGTTTGGGATGCTAATACAGTTAGCCAATTTCTGAATAAAACCCTCCTTTTGACAAAAATCGCAGCGTTGCGAGCACTTGGGTTTCTGGTGAAATCGGCACGGAATGCTTGGTGTCTCTTTGAAGGTAGGGACGAGTGATATTAATTAGCTCAAAACGAGACGCCCTGTCCAGTGCTACGAGAAAATTTACGAGATCTTAGGCTTACGAGAGCTTCGTGAAGCGGGCGCTCGATTGGTCACTCGATGTGGACAATGATCTCCTGTGGAATCTGATTTCATTGCCTACGTCACTATAAGGTTACATATCATAAATATAGGCGGATCCAGAAGGATGTGGTGTGTGTGTGTGTGTGTGTGTGTGTGTGTGTGTGTGTGTGTGTGTGTGTGTGTGTGTGTGTGTGTGTGTGTGTGTGTGTGTGTGTGTGTGTGTGTGTGTGTGTGTGTGTGTGCACGGGTGCGCACCCCTTCCTTTGTCAGGAAAGTTGATTAAATGACCGTTGAAACTCTCGTGAAAATGAAGTGCGCACACCACCCCCCTCTCAAGAGTGTGCAACAACCCCCACCCCTCTCAAAAAGCTGCATCCGGCCCTGATAGAGACATTATCTCTGCTTCGGTGAAAAGTACTGAAACCCAATTCCATTATCTTAATGTTTGTTAATCATTTTATAATACTGTTATTTTAATATACCTTTAGTGCTAATGTTCCTCAACATAGTCTTTGTCATGTCGCCTCTATAGTTCTAAATCTTTAAGTATATTATTATTTATTCATCATTTATCTTTACCTAATATATTGGGCGTTGTTGCTAGCTATTTAAGTAATATTTCACATGTGTATGGGTGTTTTTGTGGTCTTATGTATATATATCTTTAGTTGTATTGTATATGTTTTCAATGTTAACTTTGTACAGCAAATTCCCTTCAGGATAAAAAAACCCATTATCTATCTATCTCCAACTGACATGATCTGCACAACCCAATCCCAAAGCACCTGTCTGTGCTGTAATTGTTGTTAAGCAATGTCACTATTTACATGTGGTGTCGACCACCTGTATATAACGCTTGGCATGATTCAAACGCCTGCTACTGGTTCCTGACATCAAAGTGAGAGGGCCTTCAGGTGTATTAGTCCTTTTTCTGATTAGCGATAAACAATGCTAAACGACTGGTCATTCCTTGGCTTAAATCCGTTATAAACTGGGATGGCGTACACGTGCACGTGTCAACGCTCACATATTCCCTTATCGATCAACACATTCCAGGTGGTGAGGTGAAAAGGGGTGTAACGTAGTACTTAAGAATATTTCGCTCATATGACTACGTGCAGGCGTGTGCATGTGTGGCTGCTTAAGCTGTTTTTATAGTGCTACCCCACTGAGATACCATGCCGCAGTGAAGCATGAATACCCCACTCAGACACATTATACTGACTCCGAGCCGACCAGTCCTTGCTGTACCCATTAATGCCGAGCGTCAGGCAGGGACCAACAAGTACTATTTAACCACTACACCACGGAGGTCTCGGCCATAAGGACCTGCACATTTGATCTACAATTTGCCTGTGGCTATACCGACTCCGACCTATTTTTGTATACTTCTGGCACAGCAACTCGGGCTTTGGCGATTTTATAAAAAACATCAAATGCATCCCCACGGAAAGCGCATGCGCACACACACACACACACACACACACACACACATCGGAGACATGGAAAAGAGCTTGTGATACTTGCACAGGAACCCGTTATCGGCATGTAGGTTAAACATAGACCATAGAACTACACGCACGTCACATATATAAATAGAGTACATATGTGACGTGCGTGTAGATCTATAGTCTATTTTTAACCTACATGCCGATAACGGGTTCCTGTGGATACTTGTGGGACCTTTAAAATGCGATATATTCATTGACGTGTGCGTAATTGTCCGGTTTTCGATCATGTCACCAAATTTCTGTGATGAACCTTTACATATTATATAGTAGGTGTGTGGATACTAAACCGGGGCTTAGTTTATCGATTTTTTTACCCGCAGTGGGGGTCTATGAGGAACCGGTGTCTTTGGTATGACCACGAGCTACCTGCTCACGTATAGCACTGCCATAATGACTGTTTCACTTGAGGCTGAACGTTCATAGCACTTCGCATCACCTCAATCGATGCAGCGTATAGCTTGACTGGTTGCTAAACGAAACGGCTGGCGAGACATACTGTGTGTTGAACACCACCGTTGTGGACGACGATTGTTGCGACCAGAACTGGGATACGACCAGAACTGGGATAACTAATATGGAGAATTATACGTCTTACTGTCAACTATGTATTTAATCGACAAACAATTATTAAGATCAATAGGAAACGACTCTGACAGTGACGTTTGAGTGAGTGAGTGA